CAAATATAAGAGTTAGATAATATACTAGTTGAGGAAATAGCTAAAATGACAATGGAGGGGGGAGTTATCATGGGTGACTTTAATCTTCCTGATGTGAACTGGAAACCCAAAATAGCTGCTTGTACACATATTCTAAACTCCCTACTGGGATTGTCTCTAAAACAACTCATTGAAGAGCCAACTCGTAAGGAGGCCATACTAGATTTAGTGTTAACAAATGGAGATTTGGTATCAGATATTACTGTAGGTGAAAGTTTAGGATCCAGTGATCATCAGTGAGTGTGGTTTAATATAAGAAGAGTCACACCACACACAAAAAAAGTTTTAGACTTAAAAAAAAAAAATTTTTTTCTAAAATTAGAATATGCGTAAAGGAGTCCTTGTCAGACTGGAGTAGTTTAAATGGAGTGCAGGAGAAATGGGATTATTTAAAAGTTGCACTGCTGTAGGCAACAGAAAATTGCATTAGGCTTGTCAGTAAAAGTAAACAATTTAAGAAACCACTGTGGCCAAAATAGCAAAAAACAAAAAGTTAGCATTTAGTAATCATAAAAAAACCCAGAGTGAGGAAGACAGACAGATTTAAGCAGAAAGAGGCTGCGGTAGTTACAAGTGCCTCCAAAGCACACACAGGAGATAAAATAGCACAGTCAGTAAAGACGGGGGATAAAACCTTTTTTAGATACATAAATGAGATAAGGAAAGTAAAACAAGGATTAGTTAGAGCAAAAACAAAATAAGGAAGGTATGTAGAAGAGGATAAAGGTCTAGCTGATTGCCTCAATTAATATTTTTGTTCCGTATTTACAGATGAAAATGAAGGAAAGGGGCCTCAGCTTGGAAAAAGGACAAATGAGTCATTTGTTACATGTAAGTTTAGAGAGGAAGAGGTTCTATTTCAACTGTCAAAAGTAAAGACAAATAAGGCGATGGGGCCTGATGAGATACACCCAAAGTTATTAAAAGAACTTAGTGGTGTACTAGCAAAACCATTAACAGATTTATTTAACCAATCACTGTTAACAGGAGTTGTCCCAGAAGATTGGAATTAGCAAATGTTGTACCTATTCACAAAAAAGGTAGTAGGGATGAATCAGGCAACTATAGGCCAGTAAGCCTTACTTCAGTAGTGGGGAAAGTGATGGAAACCATGTTAAAGGATAGGATTGTTGACCATCTAAAATCACATGGATTTCAAGATCAGTGACAACATAGGTTTATTTCAGGGAGATCAAGCCAAACTAATCTTATTGATTTTTTTGATTGGGTAACTAAAATAATAGATCAGGGTGGTGCAGTAGACATTGACTACCTAGATTTCAGTAAGACTTTTGACACTGTTACACATAGAAGGCTCATCAATAAACTGCAATCTTTAAGTTTGGATTCCAATATTGTTGAATGGGTTAGGCAGTGACTAAATGACAGGCAACAGAGGGTTGTTGTCAATGGAGCATATTCGAATCAAGATCTAGTTGGGGTACTGTACAGACCCATTGTCTTTAAAAATTTTATTAGTGATATTGCAGAAGGTCTTGATGGTAAGGCATGTCTTATTGCTGATGATACTAAGATATGTAACAGGGTTGATGTTCCAGGAGGGATAAGCCAAATGGCAAATGATTTAAGTAAACTAGAAAAATGTTCAGAGTTGTTGCAACTGACATTTAATGTGGATAAGTGCAAGATAATGCACCTTGGACGTAAAAACCCAAGGGCAGAGTAAAGGATATTTGATACCCTACTAACCTCAACATCTGAGGAAAAGGATTTAGGAGTAGTGTTGTCCCGAACGGTTCGTCGAACGGTTCGTGAACCGTTCACCACGAACGGTTCGCCACGGACTCATCATTGAGTAAACTTTGACCCTGTACCTCACAGTCAGCAGACACATTCCAGACAATCAGCAGCAGACCCTCCCTTCCAGACCCTCCCATCTCCTAGTAAAGGAGGAGACTATATTTAAAAGAAGAAAATCTACCACAACAAGAGGACATAGTCTTAAATTAGAGGGGCAAAGGTTTAAAAATAATATCAGGAAGTATTACTTTACTGAGAGGGGAGTGGATGCATGGAATAGCCTTCCAGATGAAGTGGTAGAGGTTAACACAGTAAAGGAGTTTAAGCATGTGTGGGATAGGCATAAGGCTATCCTAGACTTAATATAAGGCCAGGGACTAATTAAAAGTATTTTTTTTAATATTGGGCAGACCAGATGGGCCGAATGGTTCTTATCTGCCGTCACATTCTATGTTTCTATGTTGTGTTTAGTTAATCAAATATATGTGTATCTGGACAAATAAACACTTAAAAATGTTTCTGTGTTAGGATTACTCCTCCCCCAACAGAAATAAACATTTAAATACTCTATATAGTAATACTCAATAGAAATAAACGTTTTTTCACAGCTATAAAGAATATACAAGAAATGTGCCTGTGTACATGTTTATTATGGTAAAGATTTTTCGTTTCATGACACATTGTGCTTTATGTGAATTTGCTAAAGATTTACTATACACAAATTTTTCAAATTACAAAAAAATACATAAACTAAATATGATATTTGCATGTGCATCACTTTTATGAAAGTAAAATATGAAATAAGCAATGCTGAACCTTCCTTTTTTTAATTTTGCACATTTGCCTTGGTATTATTTCATGCCATTAATGAAGAGTTATGGACAAACATGGAGTTCCAATAAGGAAAATCTGCAGCGAGTAGCCAGTTAAAGATGCACATATAAGATTTATTAATATTTCCTTGGTAAATTTCAAACTTCACAAAGAACTGTTTGACAGCCACAGCTTTCCACATGGTCATAATTATACTGCACAAAATTTCCTTTAGGACACTGTAAACTCAGTTGACGTTTGCTAACTTTCAGCGAAGTACAGCACTGACATTCCTTTTCCATTTTGCCTGATTGTTCCGAAAAAAACATCCTGAAAATGAAATAACATGCAAACAGTTAAATATTGTAGCTGCTATTAGCCAGTATAAAGCTCTGTTAAAGGTAAACTGTCATATGTTTCTCTCAGTTTGATATTCTATACTGTTTTGTAGAATAATTTTCTCTAAAGTTGTTTAATTAAATTGTACATATATGTAATCTTTCTCATGTTTTTCCTTTTGCTCAGTGGGTGCCGCTATTTATAGTGAGTGATCTTTGGTGGGAATCAGCTGTTATCGGCCTGTAGATAACTCACACTTGCCCCGCTTCTGCGCATTACAAAGAAATTACATCACCTTTTAGTGCCTAAACGAAGCATACAACCAGACAGCTTTTTGTTACAAAGATCACTACATTCCTATACATTATAACACACTGAGCAAAATACCTTGTCTTTAACTTGCCTCCTCATATTCTAAATCCCACACACTGGAGTTGATTACTCATGTACCTACAGAAACAACCATATGCAATGCTATCTCTGTTGTCTAAAGCAAGTTCAAAATGCATATTACTAATCTCACTTCTGGGACCATATGGTAGTGTTCCTATTCCTCCTTTGTATTTATCATGCACAATATGCCTTAATTGACCCTAGTCTGCCTATGATTGCATTTGGCACCAATTTTGATGCATTATCTTTGGGCTTAAAGTCCAATATTTTTCTCATGTTAGACTAGCCTGTATTCTTTCTGTAACCTTCTCACCACCAATCAGCACATCGATATATATATCTAGGCTTAGATTGTGTATCAGCAACATTTCCTCTTACATGTCAGGTTAAAATGTTATTTTATTTATTTTTTATTTATATGTTAACCGTAGTGTCAATAAAAGAAAAAATACAACAAATAATAATAATGGGTTTAGATGTATGGAATATATGACTTAAAATTAACAAAGTATTTAACCAGGAAAAGTACATTTAGATTACGCAGGTTTTCAAGTACATACAGGGGTTGTTACAATTACCCAATTTAATGGTACTTATTTTATCTACCACAGAAGGATGAAGGGTGGAATCAACGCTGCAACCCAAGGGATGAACAGATTCTACTGATAATGCATTAGCCCACTGAGCTATCTTACCCACATATAAAGAAGCATCTATAAAGCATGAAAGGTAGAAATTGTAAACAAAAAGATTACAGGGGTAGATAATATAATTCAAATGTTTAATTCACACTCTGATTTTAGAAAAATAATTGAACCTATGTTAAATTGGGAATAACATTTGGGATGAGTAGGGACATGCTTCTGTGTTGGCTAAGAGAAATCAGTTTGTTTAGATTTACATACACCAAACTATAAGTTATACGGGGCAAGAGAGGAAATCATCTAAAGTTATATTACTCTAGATCAGGGTATGCTTTCTACCAGTAGCTGAAGTAACAAGGGATCCCTTAGCTATGTTTAAATTACCTCCAGTTGCTAGCTATAGAATTCAAGTTTTACAACTTACATTTTAAAAAGGTTTATTTTAATTAAAATTCCCAAAAAATAGAATCCTTTGGACTTTTGCTTATAATAACAATATTCCCAAATAGTTTACGCAGATAGCATTAATTATGTTTTACATTGTTACTTTCTTTATTTTTTGTATTTTTCAATGCAATTTTCTGTACATGCATATTTTTAGTTATTTTCTGTAGATGCAATTATTAGTATTTACTACACATACAAATGTTTGGCAAACATTTACATTTTAGACACAAATATTTCCTTTGTTCTCCACCTTCATTTGTTCATACCCTGTCCCTTTCACCTGCACACAGTTTTACCTATCTTTTATAATGTAATGCTTTCCTATCTAGGAAATATTTATGTATCAACCCTCTATGGAGCAATGACACTTCATAATGCTATCCAAAGATTGTACTTGAATTTAGTGCTTATTTAGCATTGAGAACATTTTAAAAAACTATTTACATAAGATCAACATGGGACATCCAACATTCTGTGTTGGAATAGTAGGCAATTATTTTTTCACAAGGTATTAAAACAGATTATTTCACATGATAGATCATTTAAATACTGTCATGATGTTACTCACTGAGAGATTGAGCAAACTCCACTGCAATATGGTATTTCAGCTTGTATAGTACAACCATCTACTGATATGACTGTATTGTTGAGCATAAGTCCACAGGTTCTTGGTGCTAGAAAAAAATAAATAACTAATTACTTTCTGTATTTTATTTTGAAAATGTTTTGAAATTAAAATATTGAGCAGAACTGATTGTCAAGCACATGATCACATTTTTATTCTTTCGTTGAGTTTGCTTGCATCTTTATCACTTTAAATTTGTTCTGAAGCTAATTGTCCTAAAAGCAATATGTATAAACGTAACTTGCTTACCTTTGCATACATTACAGCAGCCATCTGGAGACAGTTCGATCGTGCCCTATATATATAAGATAAATTCTGTTAATTATTGCATAGAAAGTCATAAACAATGGTGCAGACTTTAACTATAAATATGTGCTATTTTATACAAATACTTTAAATTTAATGACATCTGAAAATGACATACATTTGAAGCATCTTTAATACAATATATCTTTGCAACTTAGAATCTTCATTTGAACACTGCAGTTTTAAGGTATGAACTGGGATTCAGAAGATACCCTACTGGATTACTTCCACCTTTTTACTACATATTGATTTACTATTACCATGTTACCATTTTTACTTGTATTTTACTACTTTAATATTTGTACTTGCAGTTACCTAGCTGATAGAATTTAATAAGTAAATATTTTAATATGTGCAACAAATGGCTAGTCTGTGTCACCAATCCTCCTGTTGGCGCTTTATAAATACCAGTAATAAATAATAAATAAATAAAAACGACATACATTTGAAGCATTGTTAATACAATATCTCTGCATTGCTTTTGTATATTGGTTTGCTTTTGTTTTTGTTTTTATAAGGTTTTATATTTTCAATAGATTAATATAATGCCACAGTAGTTATTCATATAAAAACCATATGAAACTCTAATCCTCAAACATCATGTGATGGTTTTTGTCAACATGAGAATGTCCAGAAAACTACCAACTCCTTAAGGACCAATGATGGTCTAAGTCATCAAAACAATCTGTTCATTTAGGATCTCATACCAAAATGGCATTTCTCCTTTGTTCAATGACAACAGGCGGTCATGGAAATGCCAAAGCTAAATATTGGGTGGGATTTCATGCTAAAATAAAGAATTGTGGGATCCAAGTGGAATCATGACATGACAGTGTAACATTTGTTCTTTAAGAGGTTAATCAATAATATGTTTTAGTTAAGAGAAATCATTTCATAAAATAGTTCCATAACCCCACTTTCCTGGAGCATAGTTAATCCTATACACACCAAAGGCTATAATATTTTCTTTATGAGCAGCATCATTTTCACCAGTGTAAGCATGTCGTCCAGATATGTACAGACGACTTTACAATTAACTCATTCAGAGGACAATGGGCATTTTGGCAGGAATGTGGAAGTCCTTTTACATTTTATATTTTTGTATACTTTTAGTTGAGTGCTGTTTCATCGACTTCATTAGTTTTATGATGAACTAATAAATATATATATATTTTTTTAAATATATTTTAGTTATATTGGCTGGTCTCTTTTACCAAATAAGACAGTTCCAAAATGTTTAACTTTTATATTTTATAGTTTCCTATAGTAAAAGTTAACATTTTCTAAGTATGGTGTTTTAAACGTGCAGTGTGTGGTTGGTGTGTATAGTTATATAGGACATACTTGAAAACAAGAGAAATCTCAATTTATCTTTCCTGGTAAAATATTCTATAAATAAATAAATATAGAGGGAACCCACAGTAGTTTGATAACGCAGTACGCTTTCTGATTTTCTATATTTCATAGCAATATGTTAGTGGCATTTTCCTATAAAAGACTTGCAGCATCCCTATTTTCTCTCCAATTTTCCTATTTTATTTTATTCCTATTACTCCACCATTTGAATGCTTTTAAAATTCAAAGATAGTTAAATGGCATGGTTGTAATGGAAATTAAATTTTTTGCCTTATTCAACTACGATGACCAAATCATAAACCTCCCAAAACTGTGCTTTATTTACTTAATTAGTTGTTTATTATATATGAATAGCTCATAGTTTAATAATACTTTGTAACTTACAGATTCACAATCGCTTTCTGTTATATTTGCACAGGACATTTCTACTACTGAAGTGATCAACTGTTCTTGTGATTTTTTACAAGTATATGTTACGCATCTGTTATTTTCTGCAGTCCATGTGCCACCATCCTTTGAAAAAAAAAATCCAGATCTTAATGTTAATAAACATAAATAAAACATCCTTTAACATTTCTAATCAGTTCATTTTCGTGACATTATAGTTCTGTATGTGCTGTATTGTCCATGCTGCAGCCCAATCCACCTTTTTTCATAGAAAAGAATTGTTAACAAAACATGCTTGCGTTGCAAGCACCAGGCTTTACCAATCAAATGCTTCTCATAGCATTATTTAATTCCCCTACGTTAACCCTTTGTGTCACTATACCCCACTCCCTCTAGCATGTAAGCTCATCGAGCAGGGCCCTCAACCCCCTCTGTTCCTGTACGTCCAGTGGTCTGATCTCAATTATGTGTCTGTTAGTCCACCCATTGTACAGCGCTACGGAATTTGTTGGCGTTATATAAATAATAAAATAATAATAATAAATAATAATAATAATAGAGAAACACGGAGTGAAATGCATCTATGTGGGAAGTCAGAGCTCTCTGCATTGTACTGGTTGTGAATAATGGAGCTACATCTAGCAACTGTCAGTGTGACAGCCATGGGCGATTTGTTTAGCCCTGCAATGTAAACATGACTGTGGCTCCAAAATGAAGCAGTTTCTGTTAATCTCCTGAGCTAATCAATAACAATTGAATGAACACTTTTTAAAAGGATTATTGGGTTAATTCCATGTTATATAGTTACATAGGCTGAACAGGGACATGTGTCCATCAAGTCCAGCCTTCCTCACATCTGTTTTCACTTTTGATCTAAATTAAGGCAAAACAAACAAACAAACAACAAACAAAAAAAAAAACAGTTAGAAGCACTTTCAATTTTGCAACAAACTAGGAAAAAAATTCCTTCTTGACCCCAGAATGGCAGTCAGATTTATACTTGGATCAAGAGGGTATTTTAAAGTTCATTGAGTGGGGGGATGTTAACTATCACATGTACCGGTCCCCCTCCATGATTGTATAAATTGTATGGTCTTTGTAGCTTCCTTTACTGCTTGGAATGAGAAAAGTTGTTAGTCTCAGCATATTTGCTGATATTAAATGAATGGAATGGGCAACTGCCAGAGAGATATGTTCATCTACAAGCAGGTAATAATCCATGCAGTATAAAGAGAATTGAGTGAGGCTTTATACACATTTGTGGTGGTGAAGAGGTTAAAGGACCACTATAGTACCAGGAAAACATACTCGTTTTCCTGGCACTATAGTGCCCTGAGGGTGCCCCCACCCTCAGGGTCCCCCTCCCGCCCAGATCTGGAAAGGGGAAAAGGGGATAAACTTACCTTTTTCCAGCGCTGGGCAGAGAGCTCTCCTCCGATCCTCCTCTTCTCCTCCCCGTCGGCTGTATGCGCACGCGTGGCAAAAGCTGCGCGCACATTCAGCCGGTCACATAGGAAAGCATTCATAATGCTTTCCTATGGACGCTGGCGTGCTCTCACTGTGAAAATCACAGTGAGAAGCACACAAGCGCCTCTAGTGGCTGTCAATGAGACAGCCACTAGAGGGAATGGGGGAAGGCTTAACCCATTGATAAATATAGCAGTTTCTCTGAAACTGCTATGTTTATGAAAAAATGGGTTAACCCTAGCTGGACCTGGCACCCAGACCACTTCATTAAGCTGAAGTGGCCTGGGTGCCTAGAGTGGTCCTTTAAAGTAAGTAAGGCAATCAGCACCATAAGTGCAATTATATATATATATATATATATATATATATATATATATACAATTTATTTACACTCAGGATTATTCATTTAAGGGAGAATTGTCATGAATTCAATATGTATTCAATGGGTATTTAAAATTACAGGTCAAATAGCTGAATTGGAAAGTTTCTTTCAGGTATTTTTTTTTTTTTTAATCTAAAATGTTTAATTTGCTTTCAGTTGACTTAATATCCCAACAAATCATGCTTTAGTGAATAACGCTGAATGGTGGATTCATCATACCGTCAACAGCTTGCTGGTTCCTTCCTCCGTGGTAACCACACATGCAATTTGAACACATTTCCCACAGCATTGATTGTCAGATTTCTGAAATTCCTGACCCTGAAGGAGAAGGAAATATGGTTACTTTCACTGCAGTCCTATCTATAAGTGGATTTTTGACTCAACAAAAAGACTTGCAAGAGATGAGAGAGCAGTAATGCTGTAAATACTTGGTTCTTCAAATGCCTTCTTAAATTGCTAGTTACTAAATCTATAAATACGATAAAGATGAGTGCATACAATTCATGAGTAATGAAAAAGCACAGTAGCATTGCATTGTGGAAACTTTAGATAGTGGCTTTTATTTGCTTCCTAAGTACTGTAAACAACATTTTTTACCTAAAATATGTTATCACATACAGATTATATCATGTCAATAGTGTATGTTAACTAAATTGCCAACAGCTATTTAAAACCTGTATAGCTATGTTTCATTTTTGCCATATTCCTCAAGAATGTTGGCATCAAGGTAAAAAACAAAAACAAAACACGTTTACACATCCAATCCATGCACGTACTAAGTGTGTTGTGTGCTTGGCATACAAGTACATCAACTTGCACCCTCTCGGGTTGCCTCAGGTAAGTATATATTTGAATATATATTTCTGATGAAGATACCCAAGCACAATTCGTAGGGGTTATATTTAAATGTGTACAGAATGCTTGCTACAACTGCACGCAGGGGTGAGCCCCCTGTTACTAATAAGTGGTAAACCCAAATGCCCTACAGATTTGCTCTCTGGGCCTGACCCCACTGTAGAGCACTAGGGATAAAACCCCTGATTGTGGTACTTACCAAAAGCATTCCTGGAATTCAAAACGTGAACCCAATCCCACGGATACGATGAGCCACATACATCCGGTACCTCCCCAATGGGGACTTAGGGGTCACCCCTTTGGCTATTGGAGTCTATTAACACCTCCCTATATTTACAAAGGTTACATTCCCTTTTATGTTCCGCTGCTCAAAACGACCGGCAATGTGCCTGAGTCTTCACATCACAGCATACTAAGTGGTGTTTGTATATACACCCATATACCAGGCAACCCTCAATTGCACTGAGCAAGCGGTATACCCACAAGGCATTGAATAGGCAAGGGGTCTAAGATGTATGTCCTCTATTCTACAGAACATCAACATATACTGACATGTCGAACTCCCCACAACAAACCCAGGATTTCCGGGCGATGATAAACGCTGTGGTGGCAGCTTTCATGGAGAAAGCAATCTCCAAGATGTTATCACAAGTTCTGTCTGACATATCCACTCAGGTTATGGGGATGACACCGCAAGATGTGGATGACATTATGCGCTCTGAGGCTCCCTCTAAAGACCTCCAATCCCTTCCGAAACATAAACGAGTTGGCCTAACCGTGCCACATGCTTGGACGAAGGGAAAGGCACCTGCTAAATGCAGCAAACATAAATCTAGAATTGAATTACCCCCGCCGGTAGATTCCTCAGAGGAGGATGAGGCCTACCTCCAAAATCTGGACATCATTGATGAATGGCAGGCGGATGCTCTGGACGAGGATGACGAGGATGACTGACAAGATGTTCCCTACTTGGAATCAAAATATGTCAAAGAATCCTTTGTGGAGGATTCTTTCTCACAGGATACACATGGATCCTTCCCAACAGAAGGTGAAGGGCTATTCCTTGATGCTCAGGGTTGCCCTCTCTTTAACCCATGGACCATTTGCCATCTATGGTCCTCAGAATGGAACCTGCCTAACCACCTAGCCAAGTTCATCCACTTCTGGATGTGCAATCCATTAGATCGAGTGGTATGAGCACGTCTTAGGGCAGAATGCCCACGACCCATGCTGACAGATAAAATTACATTTACCCTGTGTTTGACCAGATGGTGGTCATCTTTATGTCCCAGATGGGACATGACCCATGGAAAGGGATCAAAAAGACTAACTAGTTACTGGATATACTTGGCCCCATCGCCAACATCCTGTATTTTGCGGACCAAATTCTCTGGACTTTCTGCCTGGGTTGTCATGCATGTCCCTCAAATTTTCATTATTAAAATCACATAATTATGTTTAAAGATTATATAAATATACACATATAATTTTAATATATATACATATATATGTATTTAAATTCTTCGTGTATACTTATGTAATAATTTATTGTTATTATTTATTGATACATATATATATATATATATATTTATATATTTACAATTATTTGTATTTATGTATATATAGATAGGTAGATATATATAAGATGTCGGTTTAAGTGCATTTTGTTACATATATATATATATGTATATATATATATATATATATATATATATATAAACAAAAATAAAGATCAAAATGCACTCACAGGTCTTCTGGTTAATAGGAAAACTGGTGCTTTAATAAATCATCTGTGATGTACAAAAAAATCAATCGACGTTTCGACCCTGCCGGGTCTTTTTCAAGATCCATATATATATATGGTTAATACAATGTTAAACAAAAATCTGCACATCAGTCAAGCCATAAGACTTGCTTTTCCCACAGAAATCCCAAATCTGCAGTGATGTTATGACCACAAAAGAATCTGGGTAGGCATATGCAAATCAGTTTAACAAAGAATCACATTTGTGCCTCATTCCATTTTAAACATGGATTTCTTTGAGTCTGTGTTTACTGTATACAACAGCTTTGAAACACAACTTAGGAAAAGATGCAAAGCTAGTGAACCACTCATGGACAGCTGTTTCATTGTTAATGCAAATCATCAGCATGAGGTTTGCTTATTGAGGCTTGATAGTGCCTGTGGAAGCAAAAACCAAAAAGGTTATGGTGGGAAAAAAAAATGTGATTGAAAACCCCTTCCACCTGAAGTCTGTGGATAGTTAATACAATGCTAAACACAAATCTGCACATCAGTCAAACCATACGACTTGGTTTTCCTACAGAAATCACAGATCTGTAGTGATGTCACTACCACAAAGTATTCTAGGTGTGCATATGCAAATTAGTTTAACAAAGAATCACATTTTTGCCTCATTCCATTTTAAACATGGATTCCTTTGAGTCTGTGTTTGCTGTATACAACAGCTATGAAACACAACTTAGGAAAAGTTGTGTTATCTTTAGAAAGACCCATAGAGGGGTCGAAACGTTGACCTTTTACACTTTTGCTTGTATGCAATACATTACACCATTTTTTTCATCAAAATCCGTTTAAGTGCACTCTTATTTTTTGGATTTTTTTTATTATACGTGGATTGCACCGGGGTAGGGGAAGTGAGAATTTAGGAGACATGAATAGAAGGAGAGGGGACATGAGCAGGGGGAGTAAGGGACATGGATAAGGAGTAAAGTGGGACTTTTATGTGGACAGTAAGGGACATGGTTTGGATGCAGAGTAAGAGAAGTATGAAGGATTGTGATAATGGGAAAGTGGAGGTGATGAAAGTGAAATGCCTAGGGAGTGGAAAATTATTTATTAATGTGAGTGAAAGTGCACACACTTTCATTCCATACACATAGCTATACCTCTGCCTTTACACACTCTCGCTTTGCACATTATTATTATTTTATTATTTATATAGCACCAGCAAATTCCGTAATGCTGTACAATGGGTGGACTAACAGACATGTAATTGTAACCAGACAAATGGACACACAGGAACAGAAGGGTTGAGTGCCCTGCTCAATGAGCTTACATGCTAGAAGGAGTGGGGTGTAGTGACATAAAGGGTATACCCTTTGTCTAGGTTGCTAGAAAAGAATGCTAAAAAAGTATTTACTGAGAACTTAATTTTGACAGTTGCAGAAGAGGAGTCATGGGAAGGGGGTGGGAGGGGTGAATCAAAACCCGCTAACAATTTAAATTATATACTTTCCTAAAGAAGTGTTTTTTCAAAGATTTTTTGAAGGAGTGGAGACTGGGTGAAAGTCTAACAGAAAAGGGAATTCCACAGAAAAGGTGCAGCACTGGAGAAGTATTGGAGGCGAGCATCAGATGTGGCAGTACAGACAGAGGATAGACGTAGGTCTTTGGCAGAGTGCAGGGGCCTCGACGGGAAGTACTTGTGTATTAGGGAGGTTGGAGCAGCATTATGTAGGGACTTGTAAGCAAGCACCAGAATCTTAAATTGAGCGCAATATCTAAATGGAAGCCAATGTAGGGCATGATGGGGGTGCGGGCGGACAGGAAAATGAGCCACTCCGCCGCATTCATTATGGAGTGCAGCAGTGCAGTCTTGGAACACGTAAGACCACTGAGAAGGGGATTGCAATAGTCAAGGCGAGAAAGAACAATGGCATGGACCAGCACCTTAGCTGCGTCTGGTGTTAAGAAGGGGCGGATGCGAGCTATGTTTTTGAGATGGAAGCGGCAGGGTTTGGCGATCGACTGAGCATGAGTGGTGAAGGAGAGGTCAGAGGCAAAGAGAACACCTAGGCACACATCTACATACACCCCTCCATTCACATGCTGTAAATCCAGACACATAGGTTTATCTATGCATTACACTGTCATAGAAACACAATCATGAATATGTATAAACCTCTGAATGAATAAGCTCTACACAAATAAAACTCTACATTAACATACATATCCAACACTCAAAACAATACATCTCTGATTTTTTTTATATTCTCTGCAGTACATATGATGTGCATCACATTTTTTACTCAAGGTGGAAAGTTCATTTTAAGTATGCTCGAAAGTTTGAGCCCTGTTTGAATAGGCTATGGTTACAGAAAGTATTGAAACTAACATTATAGCATCATTTCGGGCTCAAAATATCTACTCGTCCACTAACGATTGGCAAGTGACAATTAAGCCCTGGTGATTGTACCATGGACTCTTGAGGCTTGCAGTGGCAAGTAACATTTACACCTCTCTAGAAGTGAAGTACTTTTGAAGTATTTCCATAAGTATAGATAATGTTACTTGAAAACTTACAGTTCCACAGTCGTTTGCATTCTGCTTTTGACAGATCTGATTCGTAATAACAGTAATAAATTGACCCTGCACTCGTGTGCATTGATAAGATGTGCAGGTTTCGTTAACAGGAGTCCATATTTCAGTTACCTTAAAAAAAAAAAAATTAAAAAGATAATTTAAGCAATTATTCTAATAATTTTATGAGAATTTAATGTATTATACATTAGTTATATATCATTCTCTGACATATCATATTCTCATTCTCATATTCAATGCATTTTTCAAAATTCATAGTAGATGCAAACCTGGCTTACCTCTTTTTAGTAAGTAATGTAAATGATAATTGATGTCAGCATAAATCAAATATACCAGAAAGGAAATGTAGATTGGTAAAGACAATTTCATTCATATTGACTTATGCTCACATGTGCAATAAGAAGACTGACCAGACAGTGGAGATGTGAAACAGTCTATGTGGAGTGGAGGAAAGCTGCAGACATGGAAAAAACATTAACTAACTGCAAGGAAAGATTGGGGAAAGATTTGTAAAGGGAGGTAAGGACTAAAGTAGGGATGAAGAAACAGTTCTTGGGAATGGGAGGTGGGAATAGGTGGAAATGTATTCCCAATGAGGAAATTCTACCTGGCTACATAATTGCAAATTTATATAGATTGAAAAAAAGACTCATATCAATCAAATGCAACCTTTCACAGATCCCTGGTTCTCCTTTTAACTGAAAATAAAGGAAAATGCCAATTTGCAGTAATTTACATCTTTGTCACAAAATGGTAAACAATTCCTTCCTGACTCCAAAATGGACATCAGAAGTCATCTGCTGTGTATAGTTAAATTTGTAGATGGTTGTAACTGTATTAGTGTTGGGGAACTGTAACGAGGATATACAAAAACTGTGTTAGTGCTGTGGATAGATGATTCTATATGAAGTCCTACACGTAATATGTGTAGCGTTACTTACCTTAACCGGGGGCCGGTCACGGTCCTCTCTTCAAGCCGCGCGCGGTCCTGCGGCTGCACTAGCCGCGCGCGGCTCATCCGACTGCTTTGGATGGAAGGCGGGCAGTGACCGCGTGAAGCGGTCACGTGTCCCGCCTGAAACTAAGAGCGCGCCTAGAGTCTCGGGCGCGCTCTTAAAGAGACAGTGGGAGCCTAATTGCCAAAAGGCTCCCATTGGCTCCTGTCATGCCACACTCCCTATACAATTACCTATGGGGGGTGTGGAAGTGACAGGAGCCAATCACTTTCGTTTAAAAGCTATTTAAACTTACCTTTTTCCCTTAGCTCGTTGCCCTATCGTGGTTTCTGTTTCAGTTCCCTTTAGCGCTTGTGGTGTTCAGTTGTGTTTTCTCGTATTGACTTTGGCTTCGTATTCTGACTTCGTTTTCGCTTTATCCTTATCTGTACTGTTTGCCGGCTTGCTGTTTTCCGTGTACCAGACCCCGGCTTGTCCTAGTTTACGCTGTCTCTCTGTGCCCTTGACCTCGGTTTGTTCCTGGCTCTGTCTCTCTCATATACGTCGAGTCCGGCCATTCTAAGGTCCGGTAGACGTATCTCTCCTCTGTATTTGCCTCTGTTTAGCTGGATCCTGCGTGTAGGGGTATATTCTCGTTACATTACGATAGGGCCATGGACCCCGCAGATTTAGCTCAACAGATGGCGTCCCATGAGGCAAGATTTGTAGAGCAGGATCACCGTATGGATCAGAGCTCAGGCTCTCCAGACGCTCCTAGCTAGAACCGTTCCAGCAACCACACCTAACCCTCCTCCGCCCCTTCTCCCTGAAGTATCTACTTTGCCTAATACTTCGGCCCATTTAACACCTCCTCCTAGGTATGGAGGGGACTCTAAGACTTGCAGAGGGTTTATTAATCAAATTGAATTCCACTTCGAAATGTATCCACGCTCATTTCCCACAGAGAGGTCTAAGGTTGGGTTCTTTATGCACCAACTTACCGATAAGGCACTTGAGTGGGCAAATCCTATTTGGGAAGCTAATGGACCTATGGTGCATGATTTCAACAGTTTTCTTACGGCTTTTCGTAGAACTTTTGACACAATGAAAAGGTCAAAGAATGCCGCGAGAGCATTAATGAGAATTAAACAGGGTTCTAGGTCTGTGGCTGATTATGCTATTCAGTTTCGCACTCTTGCTTCGCAGGTAGATTGGACCAACAATGGGTTAACTACTGCCTTTATGGAAGGTTTGTCAGATACGATATTGGATGAGGTAGCAGCTAAGGAGCTTCCTATTGCCTTAGAGGACCTTATCGATTACCTCATTGATATAGATAATAGAATTCGTGACAGGCTCTATACCAAGAACAGGAATAGACGTTTTGTTACACCCATTAACCCCAGAGTTAATATACCAGAGAGTGTTAAAGTGTCTGAGGAGGAACCTATGCAATTAGGGGTTGCCAAACTCTCTGATACTGAGAAATTACATAGGAGAAGGGAGGGACTCTGCCTATACTGTGGTAGGAGAGACCATATGGTAAAGGAATGTCCTTTACTCCCGGAAAACTCTCGCACCTAAGACCTTATAGGGGACTGGCCTTGGGTGTGATATCTAAGTCTCCTAAATTGCCTCCTAACCGCTTGCTTCTCCCGGTTTCTTTATATATGGGAGAGATTTGTATAGTTGACAACATATATGCTCTGGTTGACTCTGGGGCAGCTGAAAATTTTATAGACTCTGGCTTTATAAAGAGAAACAACATTCCCATCAGAGAGAAGGAGATACCCTTGGCCGTTGAGGCCATAGATGGTAGACCATTAAGTTCTCCAGTTGTTACTCATGAGACTGTACCATTACACATGTACACAGGGGTTTTACACTATGAAACCATTCGATTCCAGGTCATCACCTCTCCCTCTTCACAGTTAGTATTAGGGTATCCATGGTTACGTGCTCACAATCCCATTTTTGACTGGGAGACAGGGCAAATAAAATCATGGAGTGAGGCCTGCCACGAGTCTTGTACGTTGAAGTCACACCTTTGAATTCTATTGAGGTACCTACCAGTCCTCCTTTGTCTACGGTTATACCCCCTCAGTATTTATCTCTAAAGACTGTTTTCGATAAAAGGGAGGCTGAGAAATTACCGCCTCACAGACCCTATGATTGCGCTATTGACTTGTTGCCTGGCACTATACCTCCAAAGGGCAGGGTGTACCCCTTATCGGTTCAAGAAAACCGTGTCATGGAGGAGTATATTAAGGAATCACTAGAAAAGGGGTTTATTAGGAGATCCTCTTCTCCAGCTGGAGCAGGGTTCTTCTTTGTATCGAAGAAAGAAGGTGATTTAAGACCGTGTATAGATTATAGAGGTCTAAACAAAATCACTATCAAAAATGCATACCCTATACCTTTAATTACAGAATTATTTGACAGGCTGAAACATGCCACTGTGTTCACTAAATTAGACCTTAGGAGTGCATACAATTTGATACGTATAAAGGAAAATCACGAATGGAAGACTGCATTCAACACTAGATCCGGTCATTACGAATATACTGTTATGCCATTTGGGCTTTGCAATGCCCCAGCAGTATTCCAAGAATTTATTAATGATGTCTTAAGAGATTTTATTCACACATTTGTTATCGTATACTTGGACGACATTTTAATATATTCTACAGATATACACACTCATCACAGACATGTTACGACAGTTTTGAAGACCCTTCTTGCTAATGGTCTTTATTGCAAGCTAGAAAAATGTCTGTTTGACCAAACCGAAGTCCAGTTCTTGGGGTATTTGATTTCCGCTAAAGGTTTTCGTATGGATCCCCAGAAGCTTGCTGCTGTAATAGAATGGCCTCTACCGCAAGGTCTGAAAGCTATTCAGCGTTTTCTTGGGTTCTCCAATTATTATAGACGTTTTATCAAAGGTTTCTCGTCCATTGTAGCACCTATTACCCGTATGACTAAAAAGGATGGCAATACTCGTGTTTGGTCTACCGAGGCACTTCAGGCTTTGAATTTCTTAAAACTACGTTCGCCTCTGCACCTATTTTACAGCATCCTGTCCCCTCACTGCCCTATATTCTTGAAGTTGATGCTTCGGATATTGGGGTAGGTGCTGTCTTATCCCAAAGAGAGTCGCCTGAAAAGCCATTGCATCCATGCGGCTTCTTTTCTAAACAAATGTCCAAAGCAGAGAAAAATTACGATGTGGGTAATCGCGAACTCCTTGCTATTATTTTAGCACTTAAAGAGTGGAGACATTTGTTAGAAGGAACTAAGGATCCTATCCTCATTTTTACGGATCACAAGAACCTATCCTACCTTAGCGAAGCCAAAAGATTGTCTTCCAGGCAGGCTAGGTGGTCACTATTTTTGTCCCGTTTCAATTTTATTATCACCTATAGGCCAGGTGATCGCAACACTAAAGCAGACGCTCTGTCCAGACAGTTCGAAACTACTGACAAACAGGAGATTGATGTTACTCCTGTCATTCCCCCAGACAGGATAATAGCTACTACTATTTTGTCTATTTCCTCGTCCCTCTTGCAGGCCATACAAGCGAAACAAAGCATGGCACCTAGCGAGAGGCCTAATGATAAACTGTTCGTTGATGTTTCCGAGAGACGGATATTATGTCATTATATCATGATACTAAGACTGCTGGACATCCTGGTATTTCCAAAACGGTGTCAGCTGTTTCTCGGTATTTTTGGTGGGATTCCTTACGAAAGGATGTCACTGACTATATAAGTGCTTGTACTACTTGTGCCTGTATGAAATCCTCCCGTAGAGTTCCTTGTGGGCTGTTGCATCCGTTACCCGTTCCCGAGAGACCTTGGTCTAACCTGTCCATGGATTTTATTGTTGAATTACCCCCTTCAAATGGTAACACAGTAATCCTGATGATAGTGGATCGGTTCTCCAAAATGGCTCACTTCGTGTCTCTTCACAAGTTGCCCACATCCAAGGAACTGGCTCATATCTTCGCTAGAGAAGTATTTCGATTACATGGGATTCCCGTATCTATTGTATCCGATAGGGGTAGCCAATTTATTTCCAGGTTCTGGAGGGCCTTTTGTTCAGAAATGGGTATTTCTCTCTCATTTTCTTCCGCTTATCATCCCCAGTCTAATGGGGCTGCTGAACGTGCCAACCAGTCTCTGGAGCAATACCTCCGTTGTTTTGTGTCTCACCATCAGGACAATTGGTCTGACCTGCTTCCTTGGGCTGAATTTGCTCGGAATAACGCCACTCATGATTCTTCCGGCAAGAGCCCTTTTTACGTTGTCTATGGCCAGCATCCCGTTGTTCTTCCGGCTGCATTCTCCTCACAGGGCATGCCAGTTCTGGATGAGCATTTGGCTGGTTTGCGTAATACTTGGGAGCAGGTTCAGCGTTCTTTGGTGGACTCTGCTACTCGCCAGAAGGCTCAGGCTGACAAGCATCGCAGAGCAGCTCCGTCCTATGTTGTGGGGGACAGGGTTTTGCTTTCCACACGGAATATTCGTCTCCGGGTGCCTTCTATGAAATTGGCTCCCCGCTTCATTGGACCTTATCGTATTATACATAAGGTTAATCCTGTTTCTTATGCCTTAGGCCTGCCTAAGAATCTACGTATTCCTAATGTATTTCACACCTCATTGTTGAAACCTTACGTACGCAACCGCTATACCCGGCATACTCCTCCTTCCCCTCCTATGTCAGTGGAGGGTCATGAGGAGTTCGAAGTGTCTGCTGTTCTTGACTCTCGTTTTCTTAGGGGTCGACTTCAGTACTTGGTATATTGGAAGGGTTATGGGCCTGAGGAGCGCAGTTGGATTTCAGCTGATGCTGTTCATGCTCCCCGTCTGGTGCACTCTTTCCATTCTCGTTTTCCTGCCAGGCCTGGTCCTACCCGCCTGGAGGGCGTGTCCTCAGGGGGGGTACTGTAGCGTTATTTACCTTAACCGGGGGCCGGTCGCGGTCCTCTCTTCAAGCCACGCGCGGTCCTGCGGCTGCACGAGCCGCGCGCGGCTCATCCGACTGCTTTAGATGGAAGGCGGGCAGTGACCGCGTGAAGCGGTCACGTGTCCCGCCTGAAACTAAGAGCGCGCCGCGAGTCTCGGGCGCGCTCTTAAAGAGACAGTGGGAGCCTAATTGCCAAAAGGCTCCCATTGGCTCCTGTCATACCACACTCCCTATACAATTACCTTTTGGGGGTGTGGAAGTGACAGGAGCCAATCACTTTCGTTTAAAAGCTATTTAAACTTACCTTTTTCCCTTAGCTCGTTGCCCTATCGTGGTTTCTGTTTCAGTTCCCTTTAGCGCTTGTGGTGTTCAGTTGTGTTTTCTCGTATTGACTTTGGCTTCGTATTCTGACTTCGTTTTCGCTTTATCCTTATCTGTACTGTTTGCCGGCTTGCTGTTTTCCGTGTACCAGACCCCGGCTTGTCCTAGTTTACGCTGTCTCTCTGTGCCCTTGACCTCGGTTTGTTCCTGGCTCTGTCTCCTCTCATATACGTCGAGTCCGGCCATTCTAAGGTCCGGTAGACGTATCTCTCCTCTGTATTTGCCTCTGTTTAGCTGGATCCTGCGTGTAGGGGTATATTCTCGTTACAATATGAGAGGGAACAGAGTTAGTGCACTATCAACTGAGGGCAGAACACTTCCTTTTTTAGTGTAATGCAATAATTCCAGTGGTCCTTTGTGTAGATATGTCCTGAAGGATGTTCAGGACATATATGATATGTAGATATGTCCTGAAGGATGTTGATTTTGTGTGTGGGGAGGGTACAATTTCATCTTGAGATCCAGGCAGCATAATTTCTTGAGCAAGTCCTGGTCATAGGAGGACAATGATGAATCACAAGTAGACAACAGTATACAGTGCCAACATTTTCCACAGAACTTTCTAATTATACAGTGGGATTATTTAACAACATGTATTTGGCAAACCAGAATAATGTTGACATATAATAAGGTGAAGAAGGCCCCATTCAAATGGATTTACAATCTATGAGAATTGACAACTGTGCAGGAAAATGCACAGATCCCACCTCTTTTGAAGCTCACTAAGGGGAATCATAATTTTCATTTAAAAGTGTCATTGATTTGAATCACAACATATACTAAATTCTAACAGTTCAAGTGATAGAATTAAGCTCAGTGTCATACTTGGGTTGTGACACCTGAAACTCAAAAGAGTGGATTGACAAATTAAAGAATAAGGTAATGTTTTATAACATTTGGACATCTTGTGCAAATGCACATATGCATTATATTTCATACAAGGGTTCACCTTTCATCACTTGTAATGCCACCAATTATCTGTGTATTCTAGTCATTGCACTTGTATTCTTAAAAAATAGCTTATACAGATTCTCCCTACTTCCTTTATTTCATCTCCTCTTTCCTTTGATTACTTTCTCTTCTCATTTTCTCTTCCTTTTAACTTGGACTGAGCCCTGCACTGACCCCATCTCTAGTATGAATTGTCTTCACATCCCCGTTGTTTGATATGACATACACCATTGTAATTTTTCCTACTATGGGCAAAGATGACATCCTTATTTTGTATTATCATAATCCTTTTTTATGAATGGTTGCATTCTAGTGCCATACAAGTGCATATGTGTTACATGAATAGGTAAGCTGACATAATTAAATCTTTGGCAAGTCTGAAACTGTGTCTTGGTGTTTAAAGGGACACTGTAGGCACCCAAGCAACTTCATCTCATTGAAATAGTCTGGGTGCTGCACTTAGTGCTGCAATGTAAAACATTGCAGTTCCAAGTCTGCCCTCTGTGGCTGTCTATCAGACAGCCACTAGAGGGCTTCCGAAATCCAAAGTGACTTTTGGTCCATTATCTAACGCTAGACATCCTCAAGGACCTCCAGCATTGAATAAGGGGGGGGACCTATTAACCCTATAGTGCCAGGAAAACAGCTTTGGTTTCCTGTCACTATAGGATCCCTTTAAGGACACCCTCCTTTCTCCATTCATTTTCATAAGCTTTGTCTCAAATCTCACCACCCATTTGGAACTCAATCTGATTACGTTAAGGAAATGTCAAATAGGATGTGCTTTAATGATGCCGTTGTTCTTTTATTTTATTTTAAATTGCCATTGTTTTTGTCTTGTGTTTTACAGCCTTTCTGTTTATCCCTTTTCTAATAAACAAAATAAACACAGTACTAGCTAATAACAATATTAATGAAAAAAGTAGCAAAGGCATCAAAGGTAAGTGCTATCATACCATCAGTAACTTAGTTTCTCCAGTGGCTGTAGTAACATAACATTTTGTTGGTACACACATTCCACAGCACTGTCCAGCTGGTTTCCTAAACTCAGTACCCTAAAAACAAAATACAGAGACCGTTACCTCCTAACATATTTTACTTGGCACATTTCATCGCACATGACTAATGTATATGTATATATGAGAAAAAAAAAAAACTATTTTTTTGGGTAATTTTGCCAATCTTAATAATAACATTGGAGACAAAAGCTTTTGTTAATAGAGATAAGATAAATATCAATTTTAATGAAGAAAGATTAATAATTATAATACTCATACAATACTTGCTTGTTACACATAATACAATAGCTATGGAGCAGATGCTGTCAATCAGTGCTTTAATATATAATGTTTCTGAAAGGAACTCAATGTGCATACATAGATGTGGACAACCTTTTCTTCAAGTATAAAATTGCCTTGGAGATCTATTTTCCAACTGTAACATAATATAAGCTAAAGCATGTTAAAGAAAAGATCCTCAATTAGAGTTTTCTTAGTCAACCAGGTCTTCACTGCACTGAAGAAGGCAATGTTACTATTAAAACCTAATTTGCTGTGATAAGTTACCTGTAGGGACCTATTAAAACAATATGGAAACCTAATTGTGAGTTCTTCTCCCGGGGGAATTGTAGTTAATCAATGCTTTTGCATTATAATCTAGCTGAAGGTACATCATATCAAATGTAAAACTCAATTTATTTAGCAATATTTTATTGCGAGTTTTTGTTAGCTTACAGGTGAACAATCCTCTGGACTTTTATGAGTGCATGTTTCTGTTTCTTTGACAATGTCAAACCGACCGTCTGATTTTGAACATGTGTAGGAAGTGCAGATGTCATCACTTGGATACCAGAGTTCCCCAGCCTAGAAAAATTAAAAAAAAAAACAGACATAAATATATATTTAAAAAGAAAAATACATGCTGCTCTACTCACCTCACAAAGTATATAAGATGGCATGTATACTGATTACAAAGCACTGCTGAAGGAAAATCTGTGGCCCATATAAAGGAGGAAGGAATGGTCTATTTATCTCATGATTACTTGAGCAGGTCATATTTTCTCTATTATGTTCTAAGTCTTACTTTTTGTAATAGATAAATGTTTAACTGTTACTTCCCAGGATGTTTACTATTATGGTAATTTATCACTTGCAATGATCAAATATTTGTTTTTTAAGGTCTTACAAATACAATAGAATGTATAAATCCACTCTGCCATGAGTAGCTCTATCATCGAAGTATATCCATCTTGGTTCCTTGTCAATCATTATTACAATGTCTTTCCTTTTCTGTCATTGAACATAGAATATAGAGATACAGAAACAGAAAAGGATGGAGGTTATGTATAAACAATTATGAGGGTAAAGTTCTGAAAGTTGAACAATCAGCAGGGACATCCATGCTTATCTCTGATTACTGTTCTACTTTTAGATCTTTGCTAAAAAAAAAAGCTAAATTATTAATATACAGTTAATTGAAAATAATGCAGCATATATTAAAAAAGGTGATTTGCAATGAATATGATGTAAGTTCCAGAGTAATATTAATTTGAGGTTTGAATAGATACACAGAAAAAAAGGAAATGCAAAGTACCGTCAATAATTTAGTCTCTCCACTGGATGTTTTTACTATGCACGAATGTTTCACACACTGCCCACAACACTGTCCAGAAATGATCTGAAACCTTTCCCCCTGGATGTAAAAATAAAAATAAATCAATAACATTTTGTGACACTGCCTGTAAAAAAAAAAAAAAATACCTGAAGGAGTAAGAAAAATGTGGAAATAAAAAGGATTTTAATAGTTTAGATCAGGGGTGGGCAAATTGTGGCCCGCGGGCCATATGCAGCCTGCCACAGAGTTTTTTGTGGCCCGCCAAGCAGAGGCGGCTCTCTGAGGGCAGACTGTAAGTGACCGAGGACCCGACACCAAGAGGGGGCCCGACGGCTGGCTCAGTATTAGATACTGCCTGGCCACCATCGCAGACAACAGTCTGCAGCTCCGCAGTGCGGAGAGCTGCAGACCATGTGTCTTGCCAAGAACTGGACAATCAGAGCATTGCCGCAGGTTACCACGGCAATGCTCTGATTGGATCTCACGAGATTCATGGTCTCAGAGCTGCAGACCGGAAGTAATGCCCACCGGACCATGAGGGAGCACACCGTACCACCAGGCAGCCCACACCGGACCACCAAGGAGCCAATTAAGGTATGTAGTCTCCCCATCAAACCCCCCTCCCTCAGCATCACCACCCACCATCAACCCTCCTCCCTCAACATCACCCCCCTCACCATTAACCCCCCTCCCTCTCACCCTCTCACACTCTCACAATCACCCACCTTTCAAATCACTCCCTCTCCCACTCAAATCACCCCCTCCCACCATCACCTCCTCCCTCTCACCATCACCCCCCTCTCCCTCTCTCCATAACCTCCTCACCATCACCTCCCTCTCCCTGTCACCATCACCTCCCTCTCCCTGTCACCATCACCTCCCTCTCCCTTTCACCATCACCCCATCTCCCCATCACCCCCCTCTCCACATCACCACCTCTCCCTCCCTCTCATCACTCCCCTTTAATGCTGTGACAGTTGACTTTTACAAATCTTTGTCAGCTGAAACATTTCCATGTATGAAGAGATTTGCTGGGAAATCGTTCTCTATATTTGGGTCTACATATATTTGTGAGCAAAGTGTTTCTTGCATGAAGATAAACAAGAGTAAATATAGATGCTATTTGACAGACACTAACTTGCATGCTGTGATGAAAATCTCAACAAGCAATCTCACTCTTGATTTAAATTTTATTTTAGAAAAGTGTGATACATTTGTTTCATTAAACTGATTCTAAAATTAAATGTGCTTGCAGCTATAGATGATATGAAATTAGCACAATAAATAAATTGAATAAAACTACCACTATTTTATTTAATTTATATTTATTGATTTTTATGATACATTTTATACCTTTTCTGAAATTCAAAGTTAACTAATGAATGCAATCATTTTAAAAGGTGTGGCCCCCCGCTCCCACAAAGTGGCCCCCGAGCCAAAACAATTGCCCACCCCTGGATTAGATGGAGCAGATTCTGGAAAAAATCTAGTGTTTAGTAAATAATCCTATTTAATTTTAAATTCACTTTGAATTTCTGGCAATTTTTACATTAGTGAATTACCATGTAAGAATGAAGAGGCTCCTAAATTCTGGAAGTCCATTAAAAGCATCTATCTGCATTCTGTTTTAAGCTATTTTCTAGAGCTTCACATTTTCCTCTAAATGTATCTCTTTAAATTTTCTGGTTATTAATTAATATACGCATGCTATCACTTACAGATTTACAGTCTTCTGCGCTCTGGTATAAACAGTTAGTCATCATTATAACAGTGGATAAATGTCCTTGTGATCGTTGACATGAATAGGAAGTGCAGGTTTCATTATTTAAAGACCATGTTTGATTTTCCTGGAATAAAAAATACAGGGCAGATATATTTACTACATCCATACACACTCACAAGGCGATGAGGTGAACTTATACTTGATGACCATACAATAAGTTTTACCTTGTTTTTACATTATGGTTGAATACAGTAACTCATGCTGCCACTCGGCAGTGAAGGGGCAGTATCTTGTCAGTGGAGAGATTTTATCCACAGATGTAATTTAAGAATGTATCTGTCTACCCCTATGTTTTCCCTAACGGCTAGGCAATATCAGACATTTTTGCAATGCCAAGTGTGAGTTGTCATAACTATTTTATTATATATCTAATAGAAACATATTAAGTAAGATAAATTGTCACATTTTTATTTTACGTTTTATAATGATTGTTTTCCCCTTTTCAATCTTGCATATTATTGAAGAAAGGAAGCAGTGAAAGTAATTTTAGTTTGAAGTTATAAAATAATAAAACAAAAAAGTGAATAGGCAGTTGACATCCCACCCACCTATTCCATCCTGAAAAAAAACAAAGCTTTCCCACATGGGTCTGTTAAGTCCATGACCGTCCAGTATGGTAAAAATACTCAGTCAACCAGGGTGAAACCACTACAATAAAAGGTATTTGAAAAAAAAAGGGGCAGCGGAAGCATTATCATCAGGAGTAGTTTAAATAATATAAAAAAATGTATTTACAGATTTTAGAATACTTCTAGAAATTTAGAAGAAAGATATGAATTTGAAGGCAATTTATGCTTGAGGACTTGTGGAGATAGCAGGCATTGTCACACTGCAAGGCTCTGCTAGGCAAGTCAATACCACTAAAATGAGCCACCACAACCTCCACAACATTTTAGAATACTTTTAGAAATGTAGGAAAAAAGATTTGAATTCGAAGGTAATTTGCATCTGCATTTTAAAAGGGGAGCAGAAGCAGCAAGAGTAATTTCGCCGCGGACTCATCATTGAGTAAACTTTGACCCTGTACCTCACAGTCAGCAGACACATTCCAGCCAATCAGCAGCAGACCCTACCTCCGAGACCCTCCCACCTCCTGGACAGCTCACTAAGAATGCAGCTTCACAATGAATGTAAAATGGATGCTGCCCAGATTTTAGAATACTTTTAGAAATTTAGAAAAAAAACATTTCAATTTTAGAGCAATTTGCATCTGCGGAGGTAGCAGGCATAGTAATATCATAATATTCCCCCTGGCAGGGCTAAACCACTACAAAGACATTTTAAAGGAGAAGGAGCAACATCATCAGCAGCAATTTAATTTGGAATTTTTTATGCTCTGGGTTTCATGACCTGTCCCATACTGACATTATTGTGGCTCATGTTTTCTGTGACATCTCTATGTGGTTTAACCCCTCAGTGACCGCGGATGCACATGGTACATCAGACAAAAAACGGTGGTTAATGACCACTGACGTACCCTGTACGTCTGCAGCAAATACGAGTGCTGGAAGCGATCGTGATCACTTAGAACTGCTCTAAGAGTATTGCAGCAATGCCTAGATGTCGAAGCATCCTGCAATAGCCTCCCTGACTACTGGGCCAATGGGTTATCACTCCCCGATGCGATCACTTCCGGGTTGCTCCACGTGGTGCCCGGCAGTGACGCAGAGCATCGGAAGCCATCAGGCAGGCTTCCGTCCAATGCTCTGCCTGTGTGCTGAGAGCCTCGTGGGGTTGAGTTAATCTGTGCAGTAAACTGCCACACATTATATTGTAATTTCCAAAGCACATGCAATGGCACTGTCTCACACTTGTCTTTACCTATTGAGGGAGACTGAGCACACTGATGGTCAGTCTTCCTCGACTGCTGAAGTCAAACTACCTGGAAGTATCATGATTGGAAATATGTAGATGGTTTTACTACTACTCTTCTTTCCTTCTATTAGTCACTTATCTATTTGATCTGTGAATAAAATAATCAGTTAGTGGCTGTTCCCTAACCATCAGTCAAGATAAATGGAGTTAAAGTCCACATCAATGAGAAGACCTCTTGTCCTCTATGGCAGACTAAACTGATTATTTGCCTCCCCACCAAAAATAGTTTCTTCTCCATTTTATTTTCATTTTTCTGGCACCACAGACAAAACTCATGAAACAAATCAAGCAACTCATTCACTGCTCATTCCATTTGTTCTGTAATTTGTACATATGGAATTTCAGTTTCAGAGTTGCAGAATAAAGACGATTTATCGATCACCCAAATTCAGATGATGTGAACTTTGTTTGAAACCAAGTATAGTGTGTAGGATATCATCCTAAATAAGAATTTAAGATTTGGAACTATTTTCGGCTAGGCACTCGCACTCTTTCGCTGCCCTTTCCTGTTCCCGACCACCTACACGAGCAGCGTTCAGGAGATATAAACTACCAAACAGGGGAAGCATTCGTACCCTAAAAGCGAGAGATTCCCTTGTATGGTTTTTGCTCATATTTCCCTGGAACTATTTTGGGCTAGCGCCTCGTGTCTGGAAGGTCAAAAATTCTGTTCTATCAAACCAATCTGAGTGATCTCAGAAAGAATGTGCTTTTTGTGGGGTTCCCACATATGGTTGGGGGACTTTTGGGGTATAGGATATTTTGTGGATTTTTTGTGCCTGAGAGATAAGTAAATTATCTCTCAGGAACAAGGGATCTTGGGATTGAAACCCCTGCATTTTCTGCATGTGAAACCCTTACCATGGGACTGGGCATAAAAACCATGTATGTGACAATAAAATTCAGTTATACCCCCAGAGCTGAGTTTCGTCCAGTTACTGGGTAGTAGGTGGGAGATCCTTGGATTATTTTACTTGTTCCTGAGTGTAGTTTGGAGTAACCAGCGGAAAAGAGTCCCTACTAGGACTAGGGCTCTGCTACAGACATTGTTGGGTTTATTATATAAAGAACGCTCAGTCACTCCTTCAAGCAGTGAATCAAATCCGTGCTGGAAGGAAAGCCATCCATGTATTTGCAAAAATATCAAGGGTGTCTCCTTTCCCTTAAATCTGTGATAGACCACTTTCAGTGGGCTGTTCTTCTTCTTTCCTATCCTATATCTTATCACTCCCTAGTTTTACGGTTGAGCAACATGCCTCCTCCATAAAATCTTAAAATCCGTAACTATTTGAAAGCACACTATGATCTCTTTGTCATTATGCTGTTGTCTAATGTATCCAATGGACTTTATATATCCATTTGATTTGTTGTGTTTGTATTTCATAAAAAAAAAAAAAAAAACCTCACTGACATCAAATAACTACATTTGAGAACACATTGAAGTAGCAGCAAAAATACAGGAAAGATTCTAACATACCATCAGGAGCTTAATTTCTCCACTAGCAGTAATAAATACACAGGCTGTTTGCACACAATGTCCACAGCATTGATCAGGATATGTTGTGTACTCTTCACCCTGCGGGTAAATTACAGGAAAATTATATACATTGTGATGAAAAGGAATATTCAAATTGCACTAAGGAAATTTTATAGAATTTTATTTTGTAAATAATATTTATGGAACAAAATACATTATCTCAAGGGATAAAAAAACAAACTTTGACCTGCCCAGTTTTCATAAGCAGTGAACATGTCTCTACCTATAGAGCATATGTGCAGTGATTAATGGGAGTTAAAGAACAACACTGTAATTGTGATGATACCCACATAAATACAGCAGTCACTGTTAGGTTATTGAAAAATGTACCGCATTTCATTCTGCTACCTGAGGTATGTGGAATTATAAGCACAGGACTGCTTTCTGGGTTTATATTTGCTTTCATATTGCACATCCATATTAGATTATAGCTGCCACACCCCATGTGTGCCCTATTTAGGCTTAATTCCTTTTCAGGACTTTATAAGACACATTTCTGACTTTTTAGTTTTGTTTTTTTTAGCAGAAATCATCAAGATGAATTGTAGGTGTAGGACTTAACTACAATGTTTTCTTTGATGTTGGCAGGTGAGCTTGCACCTTAAAGGATACTGCGGTGGCATTAGAAAAACATCTATTATTTAAATGTGCATAGTGATTTGGGATAACAATTATTAAAAATATGTAAATTTACACAATGTTTAGTTTTCACTTATATGTTCGTCCTTAAAAAAAAAAAAAATGGAAAATTAACAGCTTCATACCAGGGTTGCCAAAAAGGTAGATCTCCAGTTACTGTAGAGCTACAACTCCCATGATGCTTTGCATATCTTTAGAATGCCTTTAGAATGACAAAGCATCATAGAAGCTGTAGTTTTAAAACATATGGGGATATACCTTTTGGCAACCTTGCTTTAGACATTATACAGTATCCTTTAAATTGCAATATTTCACACAGGGTTTGAAATGTCAGTATAAAAGCCAAAATGATTTATTTTTTTCCACATACAGTTGGTGTGACAACAATATATAAGTAAACTTGGTCAAATAACTTGCTTATAGGTTTGTACAAGGATCCTGTCTGCAATTAGGGATAATGTCCACATACAGTAAATACAGTTAAACTATATATTTCTAAATTAAAGGTAATTGTTCTTTACAGTAATAACAATAAAGATGTGGAATCATCTGCCTAAAGAGGTTGCCTTATCAGAATCTATAGATAATTTAAAAAAGAAAGGCTTGGATGCTTTTTTGCATCAACGGGATATTAAAGGATATAATTGCTATGTAACAGGCTTCAAGGTTGAACTTAATGGACTATTTCATCCTAGAAATTCTTAAAACTGCTGTGACAGACCCATCCGTATGAACAAAGATTGCTGGGTTCGTCTGTTTGCTTATTTCACGAACTCCCCCATTCGTATGCCTGGATTTAAGTGAACTGACTTTTTTACCAAACAAAACTGTTGAACGGACGGCCACCCAGAAGAGAAGTGTGCTGCTGGTTAACCTATTGATCCCAATTAGAACGTTGCGGTTAACCACAGACACTTCTCAATTAAAACCGAATACAGGGTGGTCGTCGTTCATATGTCGACCACGAGGCGGCCGCCATTTTAAACCATGCGAAAGACCAGCGGTGTTCGGTACTAAATTCATGAAACTGAAAACGGACACTTTTTCAGCCGATCACTGCTGATGCCGTTGACCTCCCTTCTCCAATCGACAGAAGTGTGCGAACACAGGCCGTTCGGGAGATTTAAAGGCACGAATGGACTTACCCCAGATAGCCTTCCCATGGAGTCAATCGCATACCGAAGAACTGTAATAGACTTTGACTCCATGGCGATTGAACTATGCGTATGGGATCTGAGCGCTAGATCCAGGCTATCTGGGGATGTGTTACACGAATGAGAAATGTTCGGCAGTTATAAAGTTATATATTTTTATGTGTTTTATGATTTGTATTTAAAATGGCGATTTGCCTCTGCTCTGGGAGATAATTGAATTACTTCTCAATTATCTCCCAGGCAGAGGGGAGGAAACTGTGATGTATGCTGGGAATATTGTGTGACTGTATGTCCTGAAATGCCATATGTCCATCTGCTATTCCAGTCTCCCATTTGGTCCCCTAGGGGAGTGTCCACCAAGTGGGAGACCTGCATAAATATGGCGGGTAGCCCACAGTAAACTCAGTTCGTGTTTTACCCTCAATGCGGAGCTTGGTCTCGTTATTGGGGGGGATTTTATTACCGGCGACTAGAGACTGCTATTTGGAATTATCAGCCGCTTGGGAGATACCGGCGTTTGGCTGATATTGGCGGTTTGTGAGCTTGAGGCTCGTGGAGGGAAGTGACCGTACGGATACCGTTCGGGAGTTTGGAGGGTTCCCTTGCTGGCATTTGGCATGGTTGTATTGGATACGCTTATAGCCAACATTATTGCGAACGGGAGCATTCACTAAACGGCGGTTTGTACATTTTATGCTGAAGGTACCGTAACAACTGGTGGCAAGCGACGGGATGACCCTCAGCGCCCAGAGAGACCACTACAACCAGGATTAAATGGATGTACAATATCAAAGACTGAAAAGAGCTACCCTAAAGGATTTTTTTAGAACAAAGAGGCAGACAAGCCAGTAACCTCAGGAAGAGGGAAATTATTGCGCTGTTGTTGGAAATGGATGGAGTACCAGAGGCAGAGGGAACCAATGGACCCAGCACAGCTGACAGAACCCCCGAGGAGGCAAGCTTTGACCGGGCGATAAGAATCAGGCTGGCCCATTATGGTCCCAACCCGACTATAGAGACCATTGACCGGGTCATTGCCGCTTTGGAGGCCAACCTGCTACGCCAAAGCGGTGCTGCAGCAGCCCCAGTCACAGCAAACCCGGGGGAAAGAAAGAAAGTGCCGTTTACTGCATTTAAACCTTTTGTGGAGGCAAAAGGAGAGATTGATGGGTACCTTGCTGATTTTGAGCGGCAATGTGCCCTGCACAAGGTACCGCTGGAAGACTGGGTCACTATATTGTCCAGCAAATTATCCGGCCGAGCCAGCGATGCTTTTCGGGCCATTCCTGATGAGGAGATCGGGGATTATGGGGCCGTCAGGGAAGCTTACAGGAGGCAATTCCGAGACATGGTAAAATCAGCTGGGGACTCTTATGTTGAATGGGCATGCAAAGTACACCGCACAGCTGCCCACTGGATGGCGGGGTGCCAGGCTGTGTCCGGGGAAGAGGTGCTGCAAATGTTCCTGTTGGAGCATTGTTTTGACAAATTATCCCCAGGCGTCAGAGAGTGGGTATGAAATCGTAAGCCCTCCGCTCTGCATGATGCCGCTCGCCTGGCGGACGAATACACGGATGCCCGTAAACTGGACAGTGCTATTGGAAAGGCTCCTGCCAGAGTGGAGTACCGGCCAGCAGCACCACCAGCAGCTAACGTCTACCAGCCCCCGATGAACCGGCCGTCAGCACCCCCTCCGTCTGCTCATTATCAACAGCCACCCCGGTTCAACTCACAGGACTATTCGCAACCCATTAGGTGCTTTTTATGCAAGCAGCTAGGGCACAAGCGACCGGAGTGCCCGATGAACAGTGCCAACCAGACCCAGTCCTGGAGGAAACCAGCTGGCGGCAATCCACGACCACCTCTCCCGGCTGCTCAATGTGTAGAGGAATAGGAATGCTGGGGCATCCTGCATGAGGCAGACCCTGTCCAAGCTGCCCACCGGGATAACAGACAGCACCACCGGCAATGTGTTAAGGTCAACGGGAAGGAGGTCAGTGGTCTACGGGATACCGGTGCAACCATGACATTGCTTCTGAAGCACCTGGTGTCCGAGGCCCAACATACTGGAGACACGGTAGCAGTGCGAGTAGCCGGAGGTGCCGTGTTTCGCCTACCCGTTGCCCGGGTACATTTGGACTGGGGAGTGGGTGCTAGACACGTGAATGTGGGGGTCATGAAGGACTTACCAGCAGATGTCCTCCTTGGCAATGACTTGGCACCCCTTGTTGAAGTGGACGCTGTCACGACCCGTGCCCAGACCCGTGCCGCCGAGACTGGCCCACCTGCTGCTGAGACCCAGGTAAGACTCTCTACCCCGACTTGTACCTTAGACCAGGCCCCTTTAGGCTGGGATACCCCAGAGATGTACGGGAAGGAAACTAGGGAAGACCCGACTTTAGCGAAGTACAGAGCCAGGGCCGATTCTGGGGGAGAAGGGGTAGATGGGGAGCATTACGAGTGGGTGGGGGATATGCTGTACAGGATCCCTAAACCGTCCCAGAAACTGAGTACCCCTCCGCAGAATCGACAGCTAGTGGTGCCTGCAAAATACTGGCAAGAGATTGGGCATGATGTGCAATTAGCGGGCCATCTAGGCTTCCGCCGCACAGCTCATAGAATCACCCAAAACTTTTTCTGGCCTAATTTTAACCGAGATGTGCGGGTTTATTGTAGCACGTGTGACACATGTCAACGGGTAGGTAAACGGGGGGGGTCACCCAAAGGCTAGGCTTCAGTCGATGCCTATCATTGGAGAACCCTTTTCCCGCATAGCCGTTGACATTGTGGGTCCACTGGCCAGGGCTAGTCCATCCGGTAAGAAATATATTCTCACCGTGGTGGACTATGCCACACGTTATCCAGAGGCAGTAGCGCTGTCTAATATAAAGGCAGAGACGGTTGCTAATGCCCTGGTCAAAATTTTCACTAGGGTCGGGTTCCCTCAGGAGATCCTCTCCGACCAGGGAACTCAGTTCACCGCTGTGCTTACCCAGCAGCTGTGGAAGGTGTGCGGCATTAAACCGCTGCTTAGCTCACCTTATCATCCACAGACTAACGGTCTCTGCAAGCGATTTAATGGTACCCTCAAACAGATGTTGAGGACCTTTACTGACACTTGCAGAGACTGGGAGCGATTCCTGCCTCATCTGCTATTTGCATACAGAGAGGTGCCCCAGGAATCTACTGGGTTCTCCCCCTTTGAGTTACTCTATTGGAGAAGGGTCCGCGGACCCCTGGATCTCATTAGAGGGCACTGGGAGACAGAGCAAGAGGGGACCCCCATAGTACCATATGGAAAAACTGTCCCTGATGGTAAGGGAGAATCTCCAGGCAGCCCAGGGGAGACAGAAGAGGTGGTACGATCGGGGTGCCCGACAGCGGGTCTTCCAGGTTGGGCAGAAGGTTCTAGTGCTCAAGCCTGTGAAGACGAACAAGATGCAAGCATCTTGGCAGGGCCCGTATAAAGTGTTAGCTCAGGTATGTGACACTACCTATCTTATAGCCAGCTGTGCAGATGAAAGGATTCAGCGATCCTTTCATGTGAACATGCTGAAGGAGTATCAGGAGAGACCAGAGGATATTGCGGCAGTATGTGCCCCGGCTGCCGACGACCCCGAGAATTTACCCTTACCCGACTTGTTAGAAAAGGATCCCCAGACTGACCTTACTAGTCTTGTGCAGCTAGAGGACCGGTGAAGCCCCGCAGAGAAGGTACAGGCAAGACAGCTTCTGTGGGAGAAGCAGGCAACGTTTTCCCAAGAACCCGGGTACACTACCTTAGCTGTGCACAAGGTCGAGACACCCGGACAGAATCCCCTACGACAACCCCCATACCGTATCCCTGAAGCAGTCCGAGAAGGAATGCGGAAGGAGATACAGGAGATGACCAGGCTTGGTATCATCGAGCACTCAGACAGCCCTTGGGCCTCCCCTGTAGTCCTGGTGCCTAAGAAGGATGGGACCACCCGGTTCTGTGTGGACTACAGGCGACTCAACGAGCGGACCACCACTGATGCCTACCCGATGCCCCGGGTAGACGAACTATTAGACCGCGTTGCCAGGGGGCGCTACCTCACCACAATATATTTGTGCAAGGGGTACTGGCAGATACCACTAGCTGAGGATGCCATCCCAAAGTCCGCATTCGTCACCCCATGTGGGCTATTCCAATTTAAGGTAATGCCATTCGGGATGAAGAATGCGCCGGCTACCTTTCAGAGGATGGTAGATTGGTTACTGGACGGATCCCAGGAGTATGCCTGCGCCTACTTAGATGATATAGCGATATTTAGCAACTCCTGGGACGAGCATTTAACTCATATAGGAGCCATCCTCGATCGCATCAGGGAGGCAGGTCTAATGTTAAAACCCAGCAAATGCCATGTAGGGATGGCTGAAGTGCAATACTTGGGCCACAGGGTAGGAAGTGGGCAGCAAAAACCAGAACCTGCCAAGATAGAGGCCCTAGCTAAATGGCCGACCCCTCGCACGAAAACCCAGGTCCTAGCCTTTTTAGGGACTGCCGGTTATTACCGTAAATTTGTGCCCAATTATAGTGCCCTAGCTAAGCCCCTTACCGACCTCACCAAGAAGAACCTGCCCAAAATAGTTACCTGGAGCCCAGAGTGTGAGCAGGCATTCCAAGAACTGAAAACTGCCCTAATTCATGCACCTGTACTTGCCGCTCCCGATCCAACTAAACACTTTCTCGTTCATACAGACGCTTCTATGTTTGGATTGGGAGCAGTGCTGAGCCAGGTTGGGGCCGATGGCGGCGAACACCCAGTCGCTTACTTGAGCCGGAAACTACTACCCAGGGAAGTAAGCTATGCCGCCATTGAGAAGGAATGCCTGGCGGTGGTGTGGGCCCTCAAGAAACTGTAGCCCTATTTATATGGACAACAATTTGCCTTGCTCACAGATCACAACCCGTTGGTGTGGCTAAACCGGGTGTCAGGGGACAATGCTAGACTGTTAAGATGGAGCTTGGCACTACAACCCTTTGATTTCACCATCCAGTATCGCCCGGGGAAGCAAAATGGTAACGCTGACGGGTTGTCCCGACAGACAGAGCTAGAGAAATGATCTGTGAGCACTCTCCCGGACATCCCCAAGCCGATCCGTTGGGATCAGACTGTGTATGCCGGCTTGGTTCTGGGGGAGCATTGTGGCAAACCCTGCCACTGAAATACTAACTATTCTGTGCGACTGAACAGTGGAATTATTACAAGCGAATGGGTGCTAAAGCAGAGACTAATTCACGAACGGACTATAATGTTATTCATGCTGTTCTGTATGCGAATGCCCGAAACTACCGAACGAGAGACCACCCCGGGGTGGTCGTGGGTCTCCCATTAACTAAAAGATACAATGTTGCGAAGGGAATTAAGTGCCAGTGTGTGTGGCCGCCATTTCGCCTACCAAACACGTGGCGGCAGCCATCTTACGCACGAACAGCGGTACTTGGTCGTCGAACGCCTGGAACTCAAACCGGGCATTCGACTAACCAAGTACCGCTAAGACCTCCTACATGCTCAAAAAGTACGAACCAAACACACGAACGCCCCGGCGTTCGGTAGGTGGAATCCCACGAACGAGGGGATTCATACGAACGGTAACAGATGCCTGGATGCCTAAGCCGTTCAGGACTTTGTATTCACTAGAAAAGACCGACCGCAGGGCCAGAATTCATGGAACTGTTTTCGGCTACTGAGCCCATGCGGTCGGTCAAATCTTTCAATAACTGTAACTCCCGAACCCCTGGTCCGATCTGGGTGAATTTTGAGTATGTTGCTCACCCAGATCAGACCTACCAGGGGACCCCTTATTTAACCTTGTACCCCCTGTATTTAGGGGACATCCATAAAGGGGGGAAAACTCTGTACCTATTAATCTGTTTAACTGTTAATCTAAGGTGAGGAGAGGGATGGGAGATGACCACGATATGATTGGGTACTGTAAGTTACCTCCCTTGCATGGGAGAAATGCATAAAAGCAGACCTGTGAATAAAGCTGTGAGTTGACTCCCAGACTATGTGTCGTCTAGTCCTTGGGGAGGTGGATTATGCTGTGTTCCTGTGATTTTGTATGCTGAATCTTTGTTCCCAGCAGAGAGCATTTGGATTAACCCTTGCTACTCCGCTACAGCATGGTTGTATTGGATACGCTTATAGCCAACATTATTGCGAACGGGGAGCATTCACTAAACGGCGGTTTGTACATTTTATGCTGAAGGTACCGTAACAACTGCTTTAGCAATCTTTTGACTGCTAATGTCATGCTGACTGTGAAATGAGTTCATTCAATCCTCTATGACTGTAGGAATGATATTATCCAGTAAAACGTCCTGTACTGTTTGCTGTCACTTTCAGCAAAATTTACATTTATTATATCATTGAAGAGTGGCATCTGGCAGAAAAATGTATCCTCTACAGGATAATCATAACTAGAGAATACATGAGGGTAAGTGAGGCTTTATGAACTACATTTCCTACTGCAAAATATATGAAAATAGAAACCTTTATATACTCAGTGTTGGCATTGATTTAGTTAGAGATGGCCTATTTGAGCATATTTGAGCTGAGATAAGGACTCCTTGCTGCCACAAGGCCAGTTTCCTCTATATATTTATAAATATATATCAAAATTATTATAATACACATTACTAATATACATATTAGTTTACTAATATGGGAGCACATGCTCCCAAAATTTAATTTATAGTTTTTTTTTAAATGTTTTTAATGAAAACTTTGGGGTTTGTGAAGACTCATGCACACTCACTGACCAATGCACACAAACACACTGACCCATGCAGACACACACACACACTGACCAATACAGACACACATACTGACCCATGCAGACACACATACAAACTGGTCTTGGTGGGCACAAGTGACTGTGCTCCGGGCTGGGCAATGCGGCTGGCACTGGCCCTTAGCTAGAATATAGAATAAAAAAGGGCAGGGTAGTGTAGGGGAGGGTAGGGCTTTTACTTTTTTTTTTTATTCTTTATTTTATCGTGCTTTGGTTAACAGTGCATACTTGTCTAGCCACAATAGTATCTACAAGCTTAGTAGTAACAGTTACGACTGATTTTCATTATGGCATAGCAGGTAGTAGCACATTTTTTGGTTTAGTGAGGAAAAACAGTTTAAAAAAAACAAGTTAGTTAACATAAAGTGCTTGGTCATGCAGTAGGTAGCTTCTAAAGTAGTGATAGTAGTGATAGTGGTGGACACTCCCCTAGGGGACCAAATGGGAGACTATGACAAAAGACAGACAATCAGCCAAACAGGACACACAGTCACATTATATTCCCACAATGCATCCTGGCTTCCTCCCCTCTGCCCTGGAGATAATTGAGAAGTAATTCAATTATATCCCAGGACAAAGGCAAATCGCCATTATGCACGTGGGGATACTAAAATAAGAATTACTATTAAAATACACAGTATGACACAAGTTACAATAAAACTATACATTTGACATGTCCCCAGATAGCTCAGGTCTGAGCGCACATTATTAAGCGAATGGCGCTCAGACCACACGAATACAGTGTAATCGCCAGGGAGCCAAAGTCTTTACACAGTCAGTTCTCATGCGAATGGGCTCCATGGGATTCCTATCTGGGGTATAACATAGTCAAGTAAAACTACGAACACCGGGCCGTTCGTGCACTCCTGCCGAACAAGAAGGGAGGTTGGCAGCTTCAGTTGTGTTTGCGCCAAACTGTGTCCGTTTTTAGTTCCATGAGTTAGGTGTCGAACAGCGCTGTGCGTTCACGTGTTTAAAATGGCCGCGACCTCGTGTTCGTGATACAAATGGCGGCCACCCAGTATTCATCAATTAAGCTGCGGTTAACCGCAGCTTCTGGGAGGCTAATTGCCGGCACACTCCAGCTCCCAGGTGGTCTAGTCATTCGTGGGTTGTTCGGTAGATTTAATCTACCGAACACTTGGCAGAAAAGCATGAATAAGTCTTTTCTGCAGGGAAAAAGATGTCTTTTAACATGGGGCCATAGTCCAAAGGCAGCAGGTGAGCAACCAGGCTTCTCCAATGCAATGTGGCGAGATTGGTCTCATCACAGTTGCTTTCACTGCTTTTGGGGTTAGTAGCTCTGTAAGTAATCTCCTGATGAAATGTGGGAGTTCGGTCTCTGGGACGGTGTCAGCCACGCCCCTTAGCTTTATATTATTCAGACGATTTTTATCTTCATGAGCGGCAAGTTGTTGTTCATGTTGCCGAGCTTTTGTTGCAGGTCTCGAATCGCGTCTTGGAGGACTGCAATCTGGTTGGTGTGGCCGGTGGAGGAGGCTTCCACTGCTCCCAGCCTGTTGGTGATGCCTTTAATATCATCTCTGAGCAGGGCCACATCATCCGCAATTTTCTTATGATGGTCGGCCATAAGTGCTCCGATCGCCTCCATGGTCACAGGGGTATGAGGCTTTGTGAATGGCTGCGCCCGTGTTGGTGACTGGGTCAGCATGGACCCCATGGGGTCTCCCTGTCTTCGTCCGACGATCCGTCAGTGAAATCCGAGAAGCCGCCGTGCAGGGACGCCATCTTGGCTCCTGCAGCATCGTGCGCCTGCCTCGATAATTCCCCGATATCCATGCCCTGGCGGGACTTGTCGGGTCTCGCTTTTTTATTTTTTCTGCCCATCGTGCCTGTGGAGTCTTGGGGTCGTTCCGGGAGAAGTTTGGCGTGGGTTTAAGTGCTGGTAATAATGTTTATTTTGCTTGTCGGTCCGGAGCTCCACGGCCATGTGACCGTTCGCTTCAGATGCTAGGCTCCACCCCCAGGGCTTTTACTTTTGCTTGCATTTCCTTCTTTTTGTGCCCCAATCCCTCATGCTGCCAACTCTCCTCTGATTCATACAGCGGCTCAGCAGCCTGCCAGGAAGGTGAATAAGAAGTCTGTAGTCTCCTTCTTTCACAGGCTGGCTAATGCATGCACTACTACAACAGGCGGCCCTCTCAACAGAATGGGCTCTCCCCACCAACCATGCTGCCCCTCTCATGCTTACCACCCTGAGACCACAGCCATAATTAATTTATTTTATTGGATTTAGCTTGATAGAACACCCTGAAGTTCTAGATGGAACTGATATTTTACTACACAATAGACTGGGTAATATGATGAATTTGATAAAGTCAGTTGTTTCAAGCCAATGTGGAGCACTTTAAAACCATGGAAAACCCATCCCCTTGTGTATTAATTAATTAATAGATCTTTATATAGAGTTTCTGAATGGAATTAATAAATGACACCCTTTTCAACATAAAGCAAAACTGATATTTTACTTTAATTCGGCATATATTGACATGGTACCTTCTAGAAAAGAGTTCAACCCAAACTTAATAGCACATTCAAGATTCTTCACATTTTATATATTTATTTTCTAATTCTGAAAGCCATTATTTGAGCAATGCCTTCATAAAAAACGAAAACCCTTCATAGTTTTTTCTGTCCATATTATTACAACATACTCCACATTACTTACGGGTTCACAGTCCTCTTCTCTAACATATACACAGGTCTCTTTAGTTACAACAGTGGAAAACTGACCATCTGCCACCTCACACTTGTATGATGTACAGGCATCACCAGTTGGGTACCAGGTTTCTCCAACCTAATCAAATGCAAAAAGACAATTAAATCATAGCTGAAAAAAGGTAAATGATAGAACAAATTCATACATGTTTATAATAAGAAACTTAATTAGTAATTCATCTCCCTATTCAATAAAATACTCAGTTTATCTACCCTTCAGCACCGATTTCTCATTTCCAACTAATAGGTAGTATAACATTTAAAAAGTATTTACACTTTATGTATTTGTTGAAGGTTTGATTGTATTCAACATACAGGGGAACTACCATAATCAAAAGATTCCCAAGTAATCATCACAATATGGTAACAAATTTGTTAATTAACTCAGAGAATTGTATAAACATATATTTCTAAACATCTCAACTGCTGCATATACCACTTCAACTTCTAACCTGCATTGAGACAGGTGCTATTTTCACCTGCACTACTTCTGCCAGAGAGTGTGAAACACCTAGACAGGAGTTTATGTTAGCTCTCTTACAAACCCCTGAGAGCATCAGCTAATGAGCTAAGCCCTACACCACCGGCTTAGCTCAGAGCAGAGAGCTCCAAAGAAGACACCAGGAAAGAAGGCAAACATTAAAAAATGGGTCACTGCTTACAGTGGGGGAGTGCCATGGGAATTCAAACACCTTAAGCACTACAACTCCGTGTAGCAGTTATGGTGCTTAAAGTGTTTCTTTTATACACTAAAGTAAGCATAACAAAAAATTAATATATAGGCACAAATGATTTTAATAACACTCAATAGTGGGACACATTGACCTAGACTTTAGGTTCTTGAATTGTTCCTGTAATTTATTGTTTTTACATCTACGTCCCCCCTTGGCTGTATGTGATGCCAGATGGCAAACATTTTGTATTTCTGTCTGCAAAATGCAGGTGAATTTACTTTAGAAATGTATCTCATATTATTAGGTCAAACTTCGTGCAATACATTTCCAGTGTTTAATAATTGTGTAAATTCTATACTTTGAATGGGAATCTATAAATTGCAGTGGATTTTTTTTGCCTGACACTGAAATATTCTGAAAGTGAAATCAAAATCATTGCATTTACCCCAAATAAATAGATACATATCTAAATGACGTATCTATTGTATATCTTTCACTACATTGCTAATGTAAAATGTATTCATAATAATAATGTATCAGGTTATACTTTACAATATAATGGTGCCAGAAAGTTACCTGGTGACAATGTTGTGTACCTTGGTCAAATCTATTCCATTGATGATAATGGTTTTATTAGGAAATACTTTAAATTCATATAAGTAGAAAAGAGTTTCCCAAAGAACATATTTGGCCTGAACATTTCCCCAAGGTTCCATTATTGGCCCCCTACTATTCACATTATTTATAAATGATCTGCCTAATGTCTGCAAATCCTCAAATGTACACATGTACGCAGACGACACCGTAATCTATGCAAGTAAATCCAATCTACCACATCTTGAGGCTGTTGTCCAAGACCAGTTCACAGAGGTAGAAAAGTCGATCACAAAAAGCAAACTCTTCCTAAACATTTACAAAACTGTCACAATGATCTTTGGAACTGTACCTAAATTACACAAATTACACAATTCCCACTTAACCATCAAAACAAAATTAAATAGCACACTGACCACAGTCTACTCTTTCAAATACTTAGGTATGTTGTTATACCTCAATCTATCTTTTGGCCTCCACATAGAAAAACTTGCATCTAAACTTTATCCCAAACTAGGTGCCCTGTAGAGAAACAAATCCTGACTGAGCCTTGCAGTAAAGGAAATTATTGTACAGCAAATGCTGATACAAATCATTGATTATGGGGCTGTAGTATACGCACCTGCACTGCAAACCCACCTTAATAAACTTAATACATTGTATAACTCGTTCTGCTGCTTTGTGTTACAATGTAATAACATGACTCACCATTCTGAAATGCTAAAAGAACTAAACTGGCTGTCGCTGGAATCCAGACGCACCCTTCATCTTTCCAGCCTTCTGTTTAAGAGCATTTCTGGGAAGCTCCCACCCTACCTGAGCAGAATGCTCTCCCCGGCTGTCCCCACCTACTATAACCTCTGATCCAGTCCCAGCACTTTATTTAGTCTACCACCTCAATACAAAAAGAAAGCAGCTTGATCCTCCTTTTCCTACAGAGCACCGCAATTATGGAACTACCTCTCGCACACTTTCATATCTTCCCCAGGTCTAAAATCCTTTAAGAGATAGATCTCTTCATATCTCAAAACAGAATGCACCTGTCATGGTTAATTATATATTTCCTACCAGTTCTATGTTTAATTTTGTATATATTATGTATTAATATTTTTTTATTTTTTTATTGTACCATATTGTATCAATGCAATGTTTTGTGGACCCAGGACATACTTGAAAACGAGAGAAATCTCAATGTATCTTTCCTGGTAAAACATTTAAAAAAAAAAAAAAAATAATAATAATTGTAGGTAGCTCTAGACAGGTACTTATGAAAAATATAAGCTTGAAAAAGATCTGTAGTTGAAGTTATATTTAAAACTACTTTGCTGATGGTCCGTTTATTTTAGGAGTAGGACTGTACATAAGAGGCAGTCCCTAAAGATAAACATAAGAGTTAGTGGCATTTGCATTTAGCAATGTGTATATGTCACATGGCCATGTGGACAATGTGTTTCAACATTAGAATACAATATTAAGAGTGCAAATTATGAAGTATGGTACCATTATTAAGTGAAAGCTTTCACTTGGTGTAGTCAACAGTGATTCATCAGCTGTTGTAGGCATTGCAATTGCACATGATGTCTGGACACATTTTCCACAGCACTGACCAGGAGAAACTTCATACTCTTGGCCCTGGAGTTGGAAGAGAAATACATACATATATATGGTACAATTTCCCGAACAATAGATCTTATAACAAAGAATGATGGGGAGCTAAGATGGAAGCCCACAGTTGCAAGTGTAATTTCATACTTTATAAACACCCATCTGTTAAATATATTAAATATATGTATCAATTAGCAAAATGTTAAAATCCTGGGCTGTGATATTATCCCTATAAATGAAATAATTTCATTGACATATTCAGATCAATACAAATCTACAATTTTCAAGCTGGGATATTTGATTTATAAATGGAATCGCTCATGATCCATGTTTTAGTTAGTAGTTGATATTTTTATTTGTTAATTCTTTATTTAGTTCATATTTATTTATATGAAGTGCATATAGAATACAGAAAGAATGTTGGTTGTATTGGTTTGCTCAAATAAACAGCAATTACAATGATTGCTAAATAGAAATTAATAATTAACAAAATTAGATATACAGCTGTGCTCAAAAGTTTGCATTCCCTGGCAGAAATTGTGACATTTTGGTATTGATTTTGAAAATATGACTGATCACACACAAAAAATATATATTTTATTGAAGGATAGTGATCATGTGAAGCCATTTATTATGACATAGTTGTTTGGTTTCTTTGTAAATCATAATGATAACAGCAATTACCCAAATGGCCCTGATCAAAACTTCACATACCCTTGAATGTTTGGCCTTGTTGCAGAGGTGAGACACACATGTTAAAATGACATCTGAAGGTTAATTTCCCATACCAGTGGCTTTTTAAATTGCAATTAGTTTCAGTTTGTTAGCTCTCACATGGCTGCACTGAGCAGGCTAGATACTTAGCCACGGAGAGCAGAAAAGAACCGCCAACAGAACTGCGAAACAAGGTAATGAAACTTTATAAAGATGGAAAAGGAAATAAAAAGATATCCAAAGCCTTGAAAATGACAGTCAGTACTGTTCAATCACTTATTAACCCCTTGAGGACCAAGCTTCTGGAATAAAAAGGAATCATGACATGCATGTCATGTGTCCTTAAGGGGTTAAGCAGTGGAAAATTCGGGGATGTTTTGATATCAAGCTAAAGTCAAGGTAGACAAAGAAAGATTTCAGCCACAACTGCCAGAAGAATTGTTCGAGATACAAAGAAAAACCCACAGGTAACCTCAGGAGAAATGCAAACTGTTCTAGAAAAAAGATGGTGGGGGTTGTTTCAAGGAGCACAATACTACAATACTTGAACAAAAATGAGCTGCATGGTTGAGTTGCCAGATAGAAGTCTTTACTTTACTTAATGCCACAAAAAAGGTCTGGTTACAATATACTCGACGACACCTTGACTCGCCTCACAACTTCTGGCACACTGTAGTTTGTATTGACAAGACCAAAATAGAGCATTATGGTCACAACCATGTTTGGAAAGGGGTCAACAAGGCCCTTAGTGAAAAGAATAGCATCCCCACTGTGAAGCATGCTGGTGGCTCACTGATGTTTTGGGCAGGGCTCGAGTCCTGCAGGAACGCATGGGAACGGCGTTCCTGCACTTTTTCCAAAGCAGGAACGCCGTTCCCGTTACCTGTCCTGCAGGACCGGCCCTGCTACCTGCACAGAGGGGCCAGCACACGCTGTGTTCCTTCTCCAGCTATAACTCTCGCGAGACCCGCGGCTGTTACCATGGCAACGCTCCGCACAGGCGAGTCTCGCGAGAGTTAGAGCTGGAGAGGGAACACAGCGTGTCATGGCCCCTCTGTGCAGCGGCTGGCTCCCTCCAGCATACCACCGGACCACCAGGCGATCTCCCCCCTCCCTGACAAGGTAAGAAGCAGGGAGGGGGGAATAAAATAAATATTATACATAAAGTAAAAAAAAAATGCTTTCCCCCCCCCACACACACATCATCCAGCACTCACACACCCATCATCCAGGACACACCCATCATCCAGCACACACACACATCATCCAGCACTCACACACCCATCATCCAGCACTCACACACCCATCATCCAGCACACACCCATCATCCAGCACCATCCAGCACACACACACATCATCTAGCACACACATCATCCAGCACACACACACACATCATCTAGCACACACATCATCCAGCACACACACACCCATCATCCAGCACTCCACACTCAATCCAGCACACACACACACACACACATTATCCAGCACACACACACACACACATCCAGCACACACAACATCATCCAGCCACACATCATCTAGCACACACACACACATCATCCAGCACACACACACACCTCCATCATCCAGCACTTGACACACACACCCATCATCCAGCATGCACACACACACACACCCATCATCCAGCACTCACACACACACCCATCATCCAGCACACACACACCCATCATCCAGCACACACACATAATCCAGCACACACACACCCATCATCCAGCACACACACACCCATCATCCAGCACTCACACACCCACCATCCAGCACTCACACACCCACCATCCAGCACACACACACCCATCATCCAGCACACACACACCCATCATCCAGCACTCACACACCCATCATCCAGCACACACACACCCATCATCCAGCACTCACACACCCATCATCCAGCACACACACACCCATCATCCAGCACACACACACCCATCATCCAGCACACACACACCCATCATCCAGCACACACACACCCATCATCCAGCACACACACACCCACCATCCAGCACACACACACACATCATCCAGCACTCACACACACATCATCCAGCACTCACCCATCATCCAGCACTCACACACACCCATCATCCAGCACACACACACACACCCATTATCCAGCACGCACACACACACCCATTATCCAGCACGCACACACACCCATCATCCAGCACGCACACACCATCCAGCACACACACACACACACATCATCCAGCACACACACACCATCCGAACAACACAATCATCCAGCACACACCATCCACACCATCATCCAGCACGACACCCAATCATCCAGCACACAACCATCATCCAGCACACACCCAGCACACGACCATCCAGCACACATCCAGCACCCAACACATCATCCAGCACACACACACCCATCATCCAGCACACACACACACCCACATCCAGCACGACACACACACCCATCATCCAGCACACACACACACATCATCCAGCACACACACACACACATCATCCAGCACCCACACACACACACATCATCCAGCACTCACCCACACACATCCTCCAGCACACAAACACATCATCCAGCACACACACGTCATCCAGCACACACACACACACATCATCCAGCACACGCACACACTGCATTCATTATACACACTCTTCACTCACTACAAACACACTACATTCACTATACACCCTCTGCATTCACTATACACACTCTGCATTCATTATACACATTCTGCACTCACTACACACTACATTCACTATACACACTCTGCATTCACTACAAACACACTACACACACTGCATTCATTGTACACACACTGCACTCACTACAAACACACTAAATTCATTATACACAATTTGCACTTACTACAAACACACTACACATTATACACACTCTCATTCATTATACACACTCTGCACTCACTACAAAAACACTACATTCACTATACACACTGCATTCACTATACACACTGCACTCACTACAAACACACTACATTTATTATACACACTGCACTCACTACAAATACACTACATTTATTATACACACTGCACTCACTACAAATACACTACATTCATTATACACACTCTGCACTCACTAAAAACACACTGCATTCATTATACACACTCTGCACTCACTACAAATACACTACAATTATTATTCACACTGCATTCACTACAAACACACTACATTCATTATACACGCACTGCACTATATGCATAGGAGTGTAATTTTTTTTAATTTTTTTTTAAGGGGGGGTGAGGCGGGAATCTTGGGTGAGTTCCCACACTTTTTTCCCCAGGACTTGACCCCTGGTTTTGGGGCTGTGTGGAAAATGCAGCATGTTTTCAGAAAATACTAGTAGACAAATTGCATTCTTCTGCACAAAGGCTGCACATGGGACTTTCCAGCATGACAATGACCCTAAGTACAAGGCCAAACTGACCCTTCAGTGGTTACAGCAGAAAAAGGTGACAGTTCTGGTGTTGCCATCACAGTCTCCTGACCTTAAGATCATCAAGCCATTCTGGGGAGATCTCAACCGTGCAGTTCATGCAAGACGACCAGAGACTTTGCATGACCTGGAGGCATTTTGCCAAGACAAATGGACAGCTATACCACCTGCAAGAATTAGGGGCCTCATAGACAACTATTACAAAAGACTGCACACTGTCATTGATACTAAAGGGGGCAATACACTATTAAGAACTTGGGGTATGTATAATTTTGAACAGGGGTGATTTAATTTTTTTTCTTTGTTGCCATGTTTTGTTTTATGATTGTGCCATTCTGTTATAACCTACAGTTGAATATGATTCCCATAAGAAAAAAAAAGAAATGTGTTTTGCCTGCTCAGTCATGTTTTCTTTAAAAATGGCACATATATTACATATTCTACAAGGGTATGCAAACTTTTAAACACAACTGTATAAAAGGTAATATATTAATATATAGGAACAATAATTGCATGTGAGTTAATGTCTTAGACATTGAAGTTGGAAATACATTGTCTAGAAAACACAGTTTCTGTGGTGTATACCTTTCATGATATGTCGATGGTTTATGAAGCTTCTGAATAAAGATATTTTGATAATTGCTAATTTTGAAGTGGATTATGTTCTGTAATGATCGCCTATGTTATCTTATATAATGCTTCAGTGGACTGACTATCCTTGGTGTAATCTCTACAATTTATTTGTAATCTCTACAATTTATTTATACTCATGCTATAATGGCGCTACTGCAGGCATTTGGATTATAGCACACTTCTGTTCATGAAATGTAACTTTTCCTTTCTGTCTCCCTAAATATATAAATATATACACACACAACAACATGAGAAGGAGAGCAAGTGAATGCCACCAGGGTATTTGTGTATATGAAAACAGTCTAAACTGCTATGCTATATCTCAGAACAGGATTCACATTAGTCTTAAACAGACAACATGAGTTCTCCAATTAGCCTAAAAATATTCAACCAATCTAGCTAATGAATTTGACAGAGTACCATCTGCAAATTGCTGGTGTAAATCTTGATACCTTATTAAAATCTGGAAGAAAATTGAACACAAAACTTTTTTTTCTGTAAACACTTATTTGAAAAAAATATTGATATGTAGGTTGTACAAATCTATATTGTTATGTTTTGAAAAAACGTACTAATAAAAGTTATTTAAAAAATAAAGAACACCCTATTGAGGGGTAACCCAGAAACCCCTACACACACATAGCAGGATTGCTATACGGCTTTTATTTGCCGCCGAACCGGGCAGAACCCGGACTAATTGGCTCCCTTTAATACCAAAACCCCCCCAGCTCCAACGCATTTACTCTACCACGAGATCACTAATTAGGAGCTGCACAAATACACTACCAGGTTGCACGTCAGTACCCTCTTTTATCCTCTCACTCACACGACAATCTAGGCCGTGCACAGCCCTCTCTGTCCACAAGGCCTTACGACCTTACACACGGCCTATAGCTGGAATTTCTAACTGATCCACAACACGGGCGTATTAACATACTCCCTCAGAACACAGGGTCCCATTTCACTTTTGACTCAAGAGGCACATAAGCATGCACCTTGCCTTCCACTGTAGGCATACTCCAGTCCATAAGCATATACGCCGACACTAACCATACGACCAGGATTGAAATTGCTCTTTTTCTATCCTATTTTCAGTGGCTGCATTATGTTGAATCTTTTATATAACCCTTTTAAAAAATTGTGCCGATACTCACATGCCATGCTATTGTTATACTATTCTATTGATTGCAGCTTGCTATAGCTGTCGTGGCTATTCAAGCGTATTGTTTATGTATGCACTACCAAAATAAAGAATTTATAAAAAAAAAAAAAAAATAAAGAACAAAAAGGGTTAAACTTAATGAAAAGAATTTTAAAAATTGGTAGCATCAAAAATTGGTACCAAAAATGCGAAAACAAAAAAACAAAACTTTAAACACAATATTAAACTTCTGTGCAGCTTAATTCATAGTCCACTGTGGCTCCAATAGTGGCATAGCAATTGTAACACAGAACAGAACAATTGAACAAGCGCAGATAAGAATTTGCAATGCACATCAATGTTGTGATTTTTAGAAATCACATCACTGAGTTGCATTACAAATTATTTTCTCTGCTGGTTCTATTTGTCTGGTTTAGACTGGAAAAAGGTTGGGAGGAAGAGTTTTGGGATGTGAGAGTGATGGAACCTGATATATATATGAGATAAATATAATATGGCTTTTCCAACCATTGGGGATCCCATAAAATGTAATGGGGACCCACATTTTATTTCTGACCCAGGGATTAAGAACCACAGGATACCATTGTATATTTGAATTTGCATAAGAGACCATTTTGTATCTGCATAACATGCCATTATTGTATATTTAAGGAATGTCTGATAACGGTGTAATTATACTAAAGGTGAAACACAATACATAATGTTAACTGAAAAAGAAGAAAGCTGCATTTAATGTGGAATGGGGAGGAGATCAGATTGGCAGCAATGAATACTGTAAATAATTTAACTTACTGGTGGACATAATGTACTGCATATAATTTTGGAACAATATGCAATATTAAAGTCAGAATCCGGATCTTTCAATGAAGAGCAAAAACATTCCTCACAGCTACCTGGAACGTTGGCTATTTGAGTGTTGGGCTGTTGAGGAAAGAAAAAAATATTAGTCAATTCAATAATATTTGGTAGACCATTATTGACTGTTTGTATCATAATAGTCAGAAAGTCTGTTTCATAGTACACAACGTACAATTTAGGTTTATGGGTCGGGTTACGCAAATGAACTCCTCAATGAACACAGGGCTATTTGCTGAATTGTTAATAATCTGGAATAACTATATTATTTCAAATGTTAGGGTAAAAACCTTTGCCATGTCATGTTTTGCACAATTCAGTTTACTTTGCAATCCTGACTGTTAACTCAAGGTGAATATATATGACTGACCATTATCATCAGTATATAACAATCATTTGGACTTTTAAAATGTATTATGATTTAGCAGTGAAAATGTTATGCTAATGGCTACTGCTTAGGGGACACTGTAGTCATTTTAACAACTTCCTATTAATGAACTTGTCATAGTGCTTGCAATTCTATCCTCCCCACCTACCCCCCAAAGCCCTCATGTCACCTAAATAGAGGACATAGTTCCCGGTTCTCATACCGTAACAGGAATGCCTACAGGATTATGTCACTAAAGAAGGAGGTTGTGGCAGCACTGAGGGAGAGTTGGCACTGGAGTAATTTGTTTTAAAAGTAATAATTTTGTTTTTATTTTAAGATCAGGGGAGTGGAGGGGGTAATTATACAGGGGCACCAGGGCTGTATTCTTAACACTACAGTGTTCCTTTAATGAAGCCATAAGGTCATTTTGGCATAGTCTGACTTGTTGGCTCTGACATCTAGTGCTCCTAGGGGTCAATTTATTGTTTTTTAGTTGCTCATAAATGCAAGTCCTCTGAAGTTAATTCTAATATGTGCTTTTTGGTGCCCATTAGAGCCATCTCTGGAAGAAAAGTCTTGTACAATTTCTGAAAGAAAAAAATGGTTTGATGAACTCTGGTGCACTTAGATTCTCACCCAAGGCATTTCCATTTTGGCTTTATTTTTTTTACAAATAAATCATGAGACTGTGTGATATGTCATGTGTTGTTGTTCATCTGAGGTTGTATTTACCTAATGTTAAGGCCTGCTAAGAATCAGATTAGTGTTATTATATCCTCATATGAAAAAAACATAGAATTCAAAGTGGGTGTACTTTCTTTTCCCCATGAATGTAGACAGGCCCGCCACCAGAAATTTTGGGGCCCCTAACTCAGCTCAGGGTCTGGGTCCTGCCTCCAAATACAGCCCACAGGGTCCGCCACCAAATACCGCCAACAGGAATACACACACAGACACAAACACACACACTGATACAAAAGGACACAGATACATACTAACAAACATACATACTGAAACAGACATACACGCATACACACATATACAGACACACAGGCATGAGACAGACACATGACAGACAGACACATACTAACATACATACAGACACACATGCATACAGACACACATGCATGAGGACATAAAGACACATACAGACACCGACATACATACACACATACATACATACATACATACACACATACAGAGATTCTGACAGACATACAGACACTGACATCCATACAAACATACATTCATAATGGCATACAGACATACATACATACATTCAGACTGACATACATGCATATATACAGACATACTGACATACATGCATACAGACCTCCATACACACATACACACAGTCATACTTTCATAATGATATACAGACATACATTCATACTGACATACAGACATACATATATACATACATAATGACATACAGACATACATACATAATTACATACATTGATACTGGCATACATACATTCATCTATACATACATATAGACATACATGCATACATATATACATACAGACAGACATACATAATGACATACAGACATACATTGATACTGACAGACATACATACATACATACAGACATATATACATACATACTGACAGACATATATACATACATACTGACAGACATACATACATACATATACATACATACAGACATAGACATACATGCAGACATACATACAGACAGACACATAGGCATGCATACATCCATACTGACAGACATACATACATACATATACATACATACAGACATAGACATACATGCAGACATACATACAGACAGACATACATGCATACATACAGACATACATGCATGGACATACATACAGACATACATACATACAGACATAGACATACATACAGACAGACATACAGACATACATACATACAGATACAGACAGACATGCATACATACAGACAGACATGCATACATACAGACATACATACAGATACAGACATGCATACATACAGACAGATATACATACAGACAGACATGCATGCATACATACAGACATACAGACAGACATGCATACATACATACAGACAGACATGCATACATACAGACATACATACACACACACACACAGCTCATTTTCCAGCCTCCTGTCTCTTACCTTTTTCTTTGCAGGAGGGTGGCTGGGGGCCTGGGGCTGATGGGAGTAGTCGGCATGGCTCTCCCTCAATGCCATGCGCGCGCACGCTCCTCCCGCGCGGAGTGAGCAGGGAGGAAGTCCCAGCAGCACTGGCTATGGCTACTTTTTTTTTTTTTAAGGGGCCCGGTCGCGCTATACCATGGCCACAGCACTGACCGGGCCCCTGAAGATATAGGGCCCACCGGGTGGCCCTAAGTGCATTGGACACCCGATAGGCCCCATCAGCGTGCGGGCACCGGTGCCACTGCACCGGCGGCAGTTCCGCCGCTACACATGGAGCCCAGGCGGCCGGGGCCGGCATTGTCACCTCCTGATGGCGGCCCTGAATGTAGATACTAGATAGATAGATCAATAGATAGATAGATAGATAGATAGACAGATATTAAATTTTTACAGCTAATCTGATATCATATGAATAAAATAGATCGGAGGTGGGGGTTCCAGAGAAAGGGGCTGGAGTCAAATTCCATGGCTGGAGTTTAGCGCTTCACTATAATACAATTTTATAAGCTACCACTAGTGAAACATCTTCCTTGTTCACAACAACTAAAGCATCAAAAAATAAATGCTAAAAAAAAATTAAGAAAAATCCAAAAATAATTGATGCCAAATATAAAATTAGTGTAGAACACATTTTGGCCTCTTTTTAGATTAACTTGGTCTCTTTTAATATTGAATCAACATTTATACCAATTATTTCTTCTGTTTAGGTTTTCTGATAGTAAAAATGATGCATACATATTTGGTGACTGATTCAATATCCACGTCAGTTAACTTACCTGATACTCATTACCATACTTCACACAGACATCTTTTGGGACTGTAATATTAATAAAATAAGATAAATACATTACAATACAGTCCCCAGTATTAAAAAACATTTCAACTTGCCTTTCTCCTGGTCTAAAATACATATCTCCACAAATATTTTGTTACAAATTAACCCATTCACTACCAAGCATTTTGCAAAAATACACACTAATGTATGCACACACTGCAATTACAACAACACAGAGATATATACAGTTGCAAGAAAAAGCATGTGAACCCTTTGGAATGATATGGATTTCTGCACAAATTGGTCATAAAATGTGATCTGATCATCATCTAAGTCACAAAAATAGACAATCACAGTCTGCTTAAACTAATAACACACAGAGAATGAAATGTTGCCATGTTTTTATTGAACAAACCATGTAAGCATTCACAGTGCAGGTGGAAAAATCCATATCATTCCAAAGGGTTCACATACTTTTTCTTGCAACTGTATATAGAGACTCACACATACACCATAATACACTGCCATATACATATACACACATTTACCCTGGTGGCATAAGGGTGACAGCACACTAACTGCTGTCAATCACAGACATTTCTACCAGCCATCCTCTATTACCTTCTTCTCTGGGAGTGTAACTAGTAACTCTCCCTGTAGCCCCGTCAGCCACCCTCTATTTGTCTTGCTATTTGGGAGGGCTGCTGACCTTTATTCTTTCCTTATCAGTCACACTCCGTTTTTCATGGTCTCTAGGTGGGAGGGAGGGTGGCTTATTTGTCTGAAGGTCCCCCTGCTTGATTTATAAGGAGCACAAAGTCTATTATATTATATCATATCACATCCCTCTCTGTGCTCTGTGTGAATTCAGTCAGGCAGACAGTGGAGAAGGAACTGCTGGGCTATTGCCACACTCAACCTTCCTGGACAACAGCAGATCAGAAATGGAGGTCAGGATGCTGATCAGTCCTCCCTCACCTCTCACCTCAGAATGGTAGAGCTGTGCTGTGAGTACTAAACACAGATAGTCTCTCCTTTAAATTGTCTGAAGTTTGCAGCATAGTGGTTGTTAGTGCCACTGTGCTGTGAATTTCAGGATTTACAATAGGCATAATTTTCAAATGAAATTTGTTTGCAATAAATTAATTTAATTAGTAATTATGCAAATTGTGTACATGACTGTGGGGTATGCACGCATACTCTGGCAACCGTGTTTACAAAAGTGCCAAGGCGAAGGGATTAAGGTAATCCAGAATATTAGAACACAACTCTCCTCTATAATATCTTCAGCAATCAGGTGTAAAAATCTGTTTCTTAATTATTTTAAAATAGCCACTCATAATAAGATATTGCATAAACCAAATCAGTCAATAAGGAAGCAATGATTAAACTAATTTCACATTTAAAAACATTTGCAAACTTACCACAGGTAACATTGGGGCAACATTCATGTGCTGATAAAACTGCCTCATAACCCAGAGAACATGTTATATTTTGAACTGGGCACAAATTTGGGTTGCAGCCTATACAAAACAAAGAAAGCATGATAATGATGTTCCACTTCCATTGATAAGTACACCAATTTCATAACTTTTCCAGTAATTAAAAATAGATCATTGAGTTTCCTGTTTACCACGCCACAGTATTAAAGAAACACTCTAGTTGCTATAATCACTTTATTTAAATGAAGTAGTTATAGCGGTACAGAGGTACAGTGTCACCATAGCACACACATACCCAAGCAATCTGAGTCTATCCTAAGTGGGTCTTTCCCAAGTGAGTGAGACTGTTGTGACCATTTATTTCACATTGTCCCATTACAATATTGCACTATATTTGGTTTTATTCTTTCAGACGTTTATACTATACTACTTGTATGCTGAATATAGTGTTAACCCCTAGGGGTATGTTACTGAATCTTTAAGAGCTCCACCATTACACTGGTAGTGGATTATATATATATATTTTCCTTCACACTTAGTGCATTGATCCAGAAGTAGTTATAGTGCCTACCGTCCCCTAGTGATTCTCTTCGAAATATGTTAAACTGGTTTTGAATGGTTTAACACTGAATGAGGGTTACCAGCTGTCCACAGCTTGTGCCCTGCTCCCTGCACATTGGAGTGAACATTGATGGGTGCCAATATAAGATCAGTGCCAAGTGATAAGCTAAGAGGGTGAGCTGAGAGTCTATCACAGCTGCCCAAGGCTGGTATGAATTGGTATGGCTAATACAGAGTGTACTCTCTGCTTTAGCCATGCTTCCAGTATGGATAGAGGGATGGTACCAGGTGAGTCTAAGCACTATAACTACTTCAATGTGATAAAGCAGTTATAAAGTTTAGAATGTCCATTTAAGAAGGTGTTTTTTTATGTATCAGAGCATTGCTCAAAAAATGTAACCAGAACTAAGCAACACGTGTCCTATGGAGAACAGGAAGCTCCTAAATAGGAGCTTTCATAAGCATTCCTGAACTAAGCCCTACAGGGCAGGACTAGCTCATTGGTTGATAGAGCTAA